AAATCATCAAAAATTTCGAAATTTCATAATTTTTCATCGAAAAGTCAAAGAAAACCCATCAAAATGCAAGCAATAAACCTTTGACTCCCCGTTTTCGCTTCGTCAAATATGATTTTCCCCTTATCATAACTCCATTTCACCTCCTCGCAAACTCTTTTTAATCTCTCAGTTGACCTAAAACAAGGTCAAAAACCGCCCGCGACTGAGTAATATGCGCGTTGGCGGAGCTGCCGACGGTACGATTACATCATGAATAATAAGAAAAAATCATAAAATTGGGTGAAAAAGTCGTGGACATTACTTTTTTATTACCTTGATTTTATGGGTATAGGAGTACATAAATCATTCCGGAAGCCGGTAAATTGCAGTTTGTTTGTGTTGAAATTAATTGCTAATGATTTTTACGGATTTCTAGTCAAAAAGGATCAAAAAGTATCAAAAGGTATCAAGGATACTTTTGAAAAGTATCAAAAGTTATCCGTCAAAAAATCAAAAAAATCAGTAGAAAATGTCCCAAATTTTTTGAGATCTCACTTTATTTGAGATTAATTCAACTTTTTCAGAGCTAACGAGCCAATTAAAGGCCAGTTAACCCATTAAACTTTGAAGTTATTTTATTCATTTATGCCTTGAGGAAACAAAAAAAAGTTGGTTAGCGCCTTTCTGGATGATTGAATATTGATGGTAGTACGGTAAATGTGCTAAAATTGGCCCGAGTTCCCACGCGGAACAGACTTTTTATATTATCCATGGCAAAATCGGATAAAACGAGGAAGTGCTCGGCGCGAGGGGCTCAGATTCGGGCCAAATTTGGCATGACAGCTGTGTACGGGCTGGGTACTAACCTCTTAAATTTTCAGGCCGCTCGTCTCAAGGAGAGCTGCAAAATTTTACAATTTTCGCACAAAAACCGCTGTCCAAAACTACAATCTCAAAAAATCCCAAATTTCCAATGGAAACAACGTTACAGAGCGCTCAGACTTCTCGAGCAAGGTTGGAGAGGGGTGTTAAAGACGATTATAGTTTTCCTTGGCGAAAACTTTGACCGTAAATTGCGTGGAAAATTGAATTTCGAACGCACTTCAAAGGAGGGGCGAATTTTGAATGAAAATGGCTGAAAAAAACGTCTCAAGTCCTCCAAAAGATGACGAAGGCGAATTCAAAAGCAAGTAAATACTGCACAATGGATTATAAAGGACGTCACGGGGCTGGGTTTGCAGTATTTTATATTGAACATGAGCGATATTGTACTTGACCATTGATGTAAAAAAAGGTTAAAATACAAGCTGAAAGAGCTTAATGTCATTAAAAATTCATAGTTCTACAGAATGCGTGGAATTTTAAGCTCAAAAATGCGCATAAATTTCAAAAATTTCAATTCCCGCAATTTTTGGCATTCTGTTGCAAGGGTTGGAAAAGAGAAAAATACAGTATATTTGGTAAATACGGTAGACGAAATGATTTTGACATCATATTACATACGATTTTCATGTTATTCCGTGATTTTTTGATGTTATTCATGATAATGATGACATTAAAAAAAGTAGATAATAGCTGATGAACCCAGCCATTTTTTCGTTTGATTTGAAAAGGGTAGGCCCTAAATCGCCTTGTATTACGGTAGCTTTCATAAAATTTGAATATAACAGAGGTCTAGGCATCAATTTATATTACACTTGACCTTCAGATAAAAAATTCGTCAAAAAGGTTGATTTCAATGCTAAAACAAGATCAAAAGATGTTCTAATATAAAATAACAGCCCTATTCTACAAATATGATCCATAAAACAGCCATTAAACAAACTTTTTGACCACTAAAATTGCACTTTTGCCCTCCCTTCCCCGCTTCAAGGCCAAAATGTTTATAATTGTTGGGGTCGCGGCCCTGGAAACGGCTGGAGTTCTCGTCAGGAATGCGTTACGAACACATATGTGTGGGTTTTAAACAATTTCGCATGTCTAAAACGTTTGGGCTTTACAATTTTTGCAGGTTTAAAGTCGATAAGTCATGAATTTTCGAGTTTTTCGGAGGAAAAATTGTTTTACAAAAAAATTTAGAGAGCAAAGAGCAATGAAAAAGAGGGAATAGAGTGTAATCTAGGATGGGGATTGTAGATGAAGACGAATTTTGAATATTGAAGAGGTGTTTTATAGATTTTTGGGGAGATTAGGATCAAAAAGGGCTAAAATAAAGTGATTTTTGATGAAAAAGGCTAAAAGTTTGGTTTTTATGCCGGAAATCAGTGGAAAATGGCTGAATTGGGAAGTAAAATACGATATAAGACATTGGAATTTTTATTTAGTATGAAGAATTTGTTATTTCAACATTTTTTGACTCAAAATGATGACTAAACCTCAAAATTTCCCTCGTCAAATCGGACACAACCCAAAAAACAACCAAAAAACGAGGAAAAAACGTATTTGTCCCGTTCCCACCACATCAACCCAGGCTTCCAAAAAAAATTTTTGCGACGTTCGTTTTTTTCGAAACTTGGACGTCCTTTTTTCCCCTTTTTTTCGAAGCCCTCGACCTCGCGTTCGATCCTCCCCCTCCCGACATGCCCTCTATTTGGGCGTTCGGCGGAATTTTCACGGAATTTCAAACAAAACCGCGAAAATTCGAGGAAATTCCGAGCCAAATGAAGAGAATTGAGGGAGTTGGCAGAAAGTTGAGGGAGAATGAAGAGAGAGGTAGAGAGAGCAGAGAGAGCGGGAAAAGCGCGCCAAACGGGGGAAGAGAGAGAAGGAGGAAGGTAGAGACGGCGAGAGAAAATGTTCGAGAGACTTTCTGGTCAGAGAACAGAGTGTAAAAAATGATGCGCTTCAGAAGAGAGCGCCAGAGACCTTTTCCTAAGAAAAGCCCGTCAGAGAAAAACGAGAGAGCACGGAAACTTGCAGAAGGTCCGAGAAACTTTTCGTCAGAGAAAAGAGAGACTATAAAAAACAATTCACTTCTCAAGAGAGAGCCAGACAACTTTTCCGAAGAAAAGCCCGACAGAGAAAAACGAGAGAGCAAGGAAACTTATAGATAATTGAGAGAGTGGTTAGAGAAACAGACAAAACCGCGGAATTGGAGACATTGCAGGAAAATAAGAGACGAGAATCGGTAAATAGGTGGAAATGTTGAGTTCTGTGTGGATTACGTAACAAGTGCCGTGTTATGAAAGAGTTGAGTAGTACTTTTGTCGAGCGATCTCTTTGTTATTCATGAGCAAACTCGAAAATTCTTGGAAAAGATGGGAAAACAGGGAAAAGGTGTAAAACAAAAGACAAGTAGGGTAAGATAATGATAGAAAATTGAAAAAAGATGATTGGAAAAACGTAAAGCTTAATTTTCATCTCCTTTATACACTTTTTTGACAAAAAAATCAAAAATTAATCTAAAATACGCAAAGCTTTCAAAAATTAATTAAAAAATCCCGTTTGAAAGTCCATGAATTAACTGTGACATGGCGTAAAGTGCTCTCAAAACCACAAAAACCAAGTGAAAAGCCAACGTTTCAAAAGACAGAGCCAAATGTTTATTGCTCTTGAGGTCAGAGATCCGTTTCAAATTTCAGCTCAAAACAGTTGCTTCGAATATGCCACGAACTGGCAATTATTTGACAATAAACTAGAGGTTTTAATGAGTAAACCAACAAAATTTTAGGGGTTTAGAAGTCAATTTAATATTAGAAAAATTGAGCCTAAAACAAGGTCATTTAGTCATCATTTTCAAATCTTTCGGGTGAAAAACGAATATTTTGATAGAAAAACTCTTAAAGCGGGTTTTATTGTAAAATACGTATTTTTTGATCTTCGGTACAGCTTATTTTTCCAAGATTCCCCTATAAAATCAAGTGTAATATAAAAAAATTTTCAAATTTTCCCCATTTTTGCCCTCCAAATTCACCATAAACGATTGAAAATCATTTCCCGAACCTCCCGCTGACATGAGTGCCCAATTGCAACGCCATAACAAAGCCCATTTGGGCTTTTTTTTCAAGCTCGCATTAATCGGGAGACAAAAGGAGGAGAAATGAGGGCCGAAAACGGCGTCAAAGCCGGAAATTTGGGGAAGTGCTGCGCATTTGGAGGGACTGCGAGCCTTTTGCAGGGTGGTACAGAAACGCCCACTCTTGGAATAAAATTTCGAAAAAATTATTTCAAAATTTATTCACAAGGAAAGTACTTCAATGGGGTATAGAGTTGCAGGTCGAGACATACATCAAAAAATCGCAAAATTCTTCTGATTCAGAATATGTAAAAATTAGCTGCCTAATTTTGGTTTGTAATGGTGAGAGAACCCTCAGAACTTTTCTCGGAACACCACGCAAATTCCTTTTTGACCAAGTTTTTACCAATTCAAAAGGTTTGTTTTTGAGCTAAAGTAAACCCTGGTATCTTGACAAGCCTTACAGTATCAAATTTGATTAATACTACACCTTAATTAGTAGTTCCAATATAAAAAAGGGGAATTCGCGTGGTTAATCGCGCTCGGTCTATTCCGTCGGAAGAAAGCGGTGTGGCCGAGTGGTTACAGCGCTATACTGAGAATCCGATGGGAAAGGTTGCCCTTGGGTTCAATTTCTTTTGCCACAGAACCCCTTTTTTACATTGGAACTACTATTAAGGTGTAGTATTAATCAAATTTGATACTGTAAGGCTTGTCAAGATACCAGGGTTTACTTTAGCTCAAAAACAAAGCTTTTGAATTGGAAAAAAACTTGATCAAAAAGGCATTTGCGTGGTGTTGCGAGAAAAGTTCTGAGGATCTTTTCACCATTACAAACCAAGATTAGGCAGCTAATTTTTGCATATTCTGAATTAGAAAAATTTTGCGAATTTTTTGACATATGTCCCGACCTGTAACTCCATACCCCCATAGAAGCGCTTTCCTTGTCAAAAATAGACCAACTCAGCGATTGTTAAGTAGTGGAAAACATGTTACATGACAAGCAAATTGTTTGTACTGAGACTATTTTATGCTATCTAGTTCTCGGGGATAAAAAATGGAATTTTTAAGCGAATCCATAGCCAATCAGGGATCCGCCGATGAAGCCGGTGAAAAGGTACGCGTTCTTGGTCACAAAATCGTCCAGCTCGCGGCTGGATGGAACAGCCGACCGTGTTGCACCGAACTGCGCCCGAAGATTGTCACTGATGTCGTCCAAATCCTGCTGGAATTGACTTTTGTTCAGCTTGATGTAGCCGCGGTAGTTGAAGAACTGCAAGGAAATAGGCGTGTAAATGAATACAAAAATATTAGTAAAAGCATGACTGAGAGTAACACCAAATTTAGGACATCATCAAGCAGCCACTTTCATCGTCAAACGTCAAAATTTTTTGGTTATCATCAAACCGGCTAGTGTAATATAAAGAAATGGATGATACCGATACAATTCAGTGTAACTCCAGTTGGAAACCGTCATAGGTCTCTTCACTAGATCATTCAGCATCTTTTACAGCTTATTTCGAAAGTTCTAAACGATGTCTACAGCTTGAAAATCCGCTTGTTACCTAAACCAAGTGAAACATCAAAAATTTCTTCCCTGTGAAACACCACAGCCTAAAAACTATTCTAGCAAGAGGATAAAGGCTCCTGACATGCTCAATAGCAATTAACAGCCTTTCTACACGTCAATCTTGCCAAAACAAAGTGTTTTCCATCTAACATCAAGTATAACATAACTCCCAAAATAATACCTGTAAAATCAACAATGTGCTTCCCAAAATGGCAGCAAAGAACTTCGAGGTCCTTGTGAACACGTATCCAGTGACTCTAAACACCAAACACAATAAAAAAAAGGAGAAGAACTTACATTCCACCAGTGGCTCCAATTCCAATCTGCATTGGGACCGGCTGTCGCTGAATGTTGCGTAAATACCTGAAGAATGAATCTATCGTGTTGGAAACAAAGTTTCCTTGGTTGGCTGGGTCCCTGGGAGCTTTGTCTGGCCACATTTTACCCGGCTTAACCTGGAAGAATATAAATTATAGTTAACGTATAGTATAATATAATATAAATTTTGCGGATCAATAAAGTTATAAAAATTTTTTCAGAAGCATCTCCCGCTATGACGGACAAATTTGTGAGGTCTCACGTCTCTTTTGAGTGTTCGACAAAATAACAATGTAAAGCGAAGTGAGGGCGCAGCCTGCGGAATTAAAAAGAAGTTTACGTAGTCGAATTATTGGGTGCAATATACAAGATTTAAACTTTCCGTTCATGCAAAAACAATTTTTAAAGCAATAAGCTCTAGTCCACTTCATTATTCCGCTCAAATTTCGTATAAACACCTACAAATGGATAGGTCTCATCGTATAAGATGTCGCTAAAGTGGAAATGCGAAAGACCCGCGGAAATTTTCACTTTGAACTTTCCTCTCGAATTTTTTTCGTTCGGGCATCTCGACCAGCTTTTGCTTGCTCGTTCGTCTGGTTCTGGTGGTCGACATGGGCGACGAGAATTTGGATAATTTCGAGGAGCTCGCATACGACGATGATAACATCGAAATTTACGATTCTCGATGTGAAAGTGAACGTAAGTTGTTTTGATTGTTTTCTTGAGGTTTAGGAAAGCCCATGAAGCTTCTTGTAGCTGGATGAAACAGCTTATTCGACGACGGGAATTGAAATTCCAAAAAGGGGTTGATGTCATGGATAATATCGAAAATTTTCGTGTTGCTCGTTTTTCTTGAGGCGAAAGTTTTTCTAATTAGTTTGCTTGGGACATGAACAAGGTTTGGAAGCGGTTTTATTGGTGCTTCGAAGGCTGCGGTCTTCATTTTTGGACGATTCTTTGGTACTGTCTTTTATGAACTGGTGAAAAGGAAATTTTCAAAACATGGGTAGAACTGGTGTCTAAAAAAAATATTCTTGCGGTTTGAGTGATAGTAAATGCGACTGGTTAGCTAGTTTTAGAAGATTTTACCGCTTTCCTTTTGGGTTTCCATTGGATTTTACTAAATTATGTTTTCCATGGTGTTTGATCTAAACTTTCTGAAGAAAATCAGTCTCATTTCTTACACACCTGAGGTAAAATATGACTATCTTCTTCCATGGAGTATATAAAATATGGGGAGCTTTAATTAAAGATTTGTAATGAGCTTGGTGTCTCTGTTATGCCTTATTTATGTTATCCATGACATCAAAACTTTTTTTTATTTATCCAGGCCATATTCCTCAAGTTGATGGCTAAAAGTAAATTTGTTTCAGTCGGATCCGACGGTGAAAGTGAGCGTTTCGAATCGGAGAAGCAGAAAGTCCCATCCAAAATCGCTAGAGCTCGTCGCGTTCCGATGACTCCGATTCAAGAGAAAGAGGAACGAAGCGTGATCAGAAGTCCATTGAAACAGATCCAATCCACTCCCAAATCCATAAACATATCGAAAACTCGACGTAATTTGACTGGAGAATTTGGTAAACTTAATGAAAATGAGAAAGAGTTCAAAAATCGCAGAGACGACAGGGGAAATCAACAAATTTCGGAAATTTCCTCTCAAATTGACCGAGAACTCAATGAGAATACCGATATTGTGCCTGGGAATGATGAAAGGCTTTATTATGAAGCGGATCAAGCGCAAATTGCCACGGCTAGACAAGGGGTTCAGACCATGGATGAGGAAATTCGCAAGTATCAGGACCGGTTTGGAAATTTGATCTCTGAGGTAAGACAAAGACTTTTGATGGTAAAATTTATACCTCAAAACTTGCTAGAGGGCTTTTGGAAGAAAATATAAGCAATTGATTTTAATTTTTTTTTGAGAATGGACTAGAAATTATATTATCCATGCCATAAATTTTTCATATTTTCAGACTCAAGACGATGCCCCATCGAAAGCCGTTCGTTTTGATGTTCCAAGAACAGAAAGTACGGACTCTCTGATCACCAGTCAGAAGGAAGATGAGCGTGATATGAATCCGCCGTCAGTCATTGAAAAACCCAAGGAGAACATCGCGGAACCGTTGCCAAACTTTCGAAAGCCATCTGGAATACTCAAAAGTATCAGTGAAATTGTGCCAAGCACCTCTGGAATGACTTCGATTATTGTGAGTTTTTGAATTGAGGATTTTTGTGGTTTTTAGAGTTGGCAGCTCGCGCCCGACGTTTGTCAGGATTTCGGTATCTAGAAGGAAGTAATGGGCATAAATGGGTGGAAGAGGATGAGTTTACTGTAAAAACACGTTTTGGTAGACTTTTGATGCGTTTGAGATTGGCAGCTCGCGCCCAGGCAAAATTTAAAATTGAGGTTATAGGTGAAATTAATGTGCTGCTTGGTGTGTGGGGGTGTATAATGTAATAGAATAAAGATATATTGATTTGATTTTTTTAGAAATTTAGGTTATCGAAAATCGATTTTTTTGTTTCAGCACACCCCGGAATGGCAACGCCGCCAAAAAATCCTAGACGAACGTTATCAACGAATGTGCCAGCAACAAATCCAACCCCTCTCCCTGACTCACCGACCCTCTCCCCGCACCAGTTTACCGGCCGAAACCACCACTCCAAAACGGCCGATTGGCCTGCGAACTCTGAACCCAATTGTGGACCTCCGAAAGGAATTAGGCCAACAAAAAGAGCTCAAAGATGGATCAATCGAGCAGAAATTGGACAACGAACACAAGAATGGATTGGGCCATGAGAATAACCAGCCTAACCGCCAATCCAGCTTCCGGAATTACAGCAATCCGCAGAAGAATTTGACGAATTCGCGGGGAAATCGCCTGACCGCCGAGAATTTGGCCAAACATCAGGCTAGTTTTCAACAGCAGAGCCAGTCCAGCGATTCCAGTCGCGCCGAGAAAGACTCCGCCCACTTTGGAAGAGACTCCGCCCGCTTTGGAAGAGACTCCGCCCTCTCGACCAGAGACTCCGCCTACTTTTTCACGGAAGATTTGTTGAAGCCCCGGCGGAAATTCACGGAAAAAACGGACCAAACTCAGACGGAAAGAACATCCCGAAGCCCCATCTCACAGTCCGACACAATGAGAACTGCTATCTCGAGAGCGGCTGACTCCAGTTTCCCGTCGAGAGCACCGTCAGCCATGAGTCAGATGAATCAAACAATCACGATGTAAGAATGAACAGGTTGTTGGTGATTATAAGGAAAGATTTGAGAAGAATAGAGAAGATGTTTACACGTGGAGGAGAGTAGAAAAAAAATTTTGGATCTTTAGCGATGATTTGAGCATGAAGTCAGGGCGCAGCTTGCGGACACAAAAAAGTTTTTTAAATTGAATTAAGACTGAGGATTTGTGGAGATTAGAGACTGACTTGACATGTGGATTAGATTAGAATCAAATTTTTAAACCTTAGCGATGATTTGAGCATGAAGCCAGGGCGCAGCTTGCCAGATTTGAGAAGGCCTGGCGTTGAATTGGAAATAGAATGGTAGGTTGGGGAATGGTATGAGGAAGATCAGTCGAGGAAATTCTATGAATTTAAGTTAGAGTGCAGCTCGGTAAAAGCAATTTTTGGATAACATGGGGCGCAGCTTGCAAAAGTCAAAAGTGTTGGATATTGCAGTAAAAATTATATAGATAGACTGCTGAGGCATAAAAAATTCAAGTGTGTTGATTTTTTAGCTTGAAATATAGGGCGCAGCTCGGAATTATGGTTTTTTTTCCGAAAACCTGGGCGCAGCTTGAAAGTTGAATTTTGAAGATTTGCGTAAAATTTTTTGACGTCATATTTTCAGGTGCGAGCTCAGCGCGAGCTCTGGACAATTGGCGTTTGGATTTGTCGACGTTAAAGTTGACAAAATCCTCCCGTTAACCCTTACTAACAATGGAAATGAAAGTGCAAATTTCACATTGCGAATCAAATACCCGAGTGATTACAAGGGTGGACAGGTGTTTAATGTAAGTTGAGATAATGATGGATATTATTTTTGGTTGAAATTTTAGATTTAAAAAAAAATTTTTTACAAAAAATTTCGGATTTTTTGGAATTTTTCGAATTTTTGCGTTTTTTAGATAGTGCACGTCACCTCCACCACCCTGCGAGGCCATGGTGGACAGGCCACGTTCTCGGTGGGCTTCCACCCCCTGGCGCAGGCCAGCTACACGGCCGAGTTGATCGTGAAACGCACGAATTGCGGAGAATCCGAGTTCCGATTTCCAATCTTTGGCTACGGCGGCAGATGCCATGTGGAGGCGTATGCGGCGCTCGGAGAACGTCTGATGGCTGGATTGGAAGGTTTAAGGGTTGTGAATGTGGACTCGAGACAAAGCACCTATCATTTCAGCTTGAGAAATGATGGGGTTCGGTGAGTGGAAAAATCGAAAAAAGTTGGGGAAAAAATGGTGGAAATTGTGGGAAATGGAAAGTTTAGGAGTTGTGAAAGTCGATAGGAGTTGTTGGGGTATTTGAAAATAGTTTTTGTGGAGTGAAAATACAAAATTTAAAAAAAAATGGTCAAAGGTGGCATAAGATAAGGTAAAAATCGAAAATTTTAGATAAAAAAGGTGGTCAAGTTGATGATAATTTGATTACTTAGATTACATATTTGGTGTAGAGGCTGATAAAAGTGGTATTGAAAGTTAGAAGACATTCGTTTCAAGTGAAAATTTGAAAACTTTGCAAAAAATGACCGAAAACGGCTAAAATTGGGCAAAAATGATAAAAGCCGTTACGTAAGGGCGGAATGAGGTACTGTATTGTGTTTAGAGACTGGTAAAGTTTATTAAATTGTATTATTTTGGTGTTTTTCAACAAAAAAAATTTTGGTTTTTGACGAAAAATTAGTAAAATAGGTAAAAAAAGTTGGAAAAAAGTGATGAGATTTGCTGATTTGGATGTTAAGATGAATTTAAAATGGTGTGAGAATAATTGTGGAGTCATGTTTCATCGTATTTTAGGTCGGCATTCTGCGCAATCTTCGCCCTGAACGAAAATAACGAGATTTTAAACGACGGCCCGGTGAAAGTAACCCCCCAAAGAACCATCATCCAGAAGTCACAGATGCTTGTGAGTGATCCCATTTTTGTTTTTGATTCCGATTTTAGAATTGCAAAGTGGAGCTGGCGACGGATAGCCTCAGGCGATCCCACTCGGCGCAGTCTTTGTCCAGCACAAAGACGGTCAATGATGGGATCCTGAAATTGCTGGTGTATTATGGAGAGGAGAGGCAGAGATTGAGGTTCAAACAGTACGTTTGGAGGTGTTGCTGGAGATTTTTTGGGAAAAAATTTCTGGATTTTTTCGAAAAAAATAAAAATTTCGAACAAAAAAGCGAAATTTTATAGAAAAAAAGTATTGTGACTTCTTGAAAAAATCTTATTCTTTATTTTTGGGCAAATTTTTACAATTTTTGACAAGGAAATTACTTCTATGGGGGTATGGAGTTACAGGTCGAGATATATGTCAAAAAAATCGCAAAATTTTTCTGATTCCGGAATATGTAAAAATTAGCTGCACAATTTTGGTTTGTAATGGTTAAAGAATCTTCAGAACTTTTCTCGAAACACCACGCAAATGCCTTTTTGACCAAGTTTTTACCAATTCAAAAATTTGTTTTGAGCTAAAATAAACCCTGGCATCTTCACAAGCTTTACAGTATCAAATTTGGTTCATACTACACCTTAATTAGTAGTTCCAATATAAAAAAGTAAAGCTTGTCAAGATGCCAGGGTTTACTTTAGCTCAAAACAAAGCTTTGAATTGGTAAAAACTTGGTCAAAAAGGCATTTGCGTGGTGTTTCGAGAAAAGTTCTGAAGATTCTTTAACCATTACAAACCAAAATTGTGCAGCTAATTTTTACATATTCCGGAATCAGAAAAATTTTGCGATTTTTTTGACATATATCTCGACCTGTAACTCCATACCCCCATAGAAGTAATTTCCTTGTCAAAAATTGTAAAAATTTGCCCAAAAATAAAGAATAAGATTTTCAAGAAGGCACAATACTTTTTTTTCTATAAAATTTCGCTTTTTTGTTCGAAAAATTTTTACTTTAAAAAAAATTTGCTAAAAAATCCAAAACTTTTTTCTCCCAAAAAATCTCAAATTTTGCCTTCAGATACCTCGCCCAGCACAGGAAACGCTACATTTGTTACAAAGTGGACTTTGCCGTCCAATTCGAGGGAGAATCCGCCAGACCGATGAAAATGGTCTATCGAGCAGATGTCGAGGCCTTCAAGGATTGCATAAGGACCCTACGAATCGAATTCAACGACCCAAGAAGAGTGACTCAGCGCCCAGTGAGCAGAGCCGGCACTTCCATGTCAATGTGCTCGACGATAGCGGACGAAACGCTCCTCCAACGCACCTATGCCCTCCCAGTACAGGGCTCGCCTTTTCGAACCCCCAGGGCACAACCGGAAAGAGATTCGATTCTTGCGGATAACACAGTAATTCCCACGGTTCAACGCGCCATCAGGTGAAATTTGAAGGAATTGTGACGTCATCGCCGGAAGTTGTGACCATTTTATACGAAAAAACTGATTTTTCGCGAGTTTTTTTGGTTTTTGCGATTTTTAAGGCCATTTATGGATTTACTAACAAGGGAAGTCACTTAAGTCACGGATCGATTTTTAAAAACGACTGTTACAGCGATGGGGAGGGTAGGACGGAGATATCAGATCTGAAAACCGCTACCTCCACCGGCCTCTGGGAGCCGAGATAATCGACCAAAAAGGTTTGAACAAAAAAAGTTGCTCCGAATAGTCCTCTCTTCCGAAAGAAGAAAACCGAGCGAGCCGAATGGTTCAGTGGTCTGGAAGCGCGCTTCCGGGTCTTGACCTTTTCAGGTTCGAATCCGCATGGGTCAAAAAATTTATTAAACTTTTCCTGTAATTCAGTAAAATTTACCGGTAAGATAAAAAATTTTGATTTTTTGCATATTTTACGATAAAATTTCAGAGTAATAATTCGAATGCGAGTTCCAAGCGATTTGAATTTTCAAGGTTAAAAATTTACCGTAAATAGGCATAAAACCTAAAAATGAATTGCTAGTAAATTTACTGGATTACATCAACTGTTTTATACATTTTTCACAAGTTCGAGACCCGCGCGGATTCGAACCTGAAAAGGTAAAGGCCCGGAAGCGCGCTTCCAGACCGCCGGACCATTCGGTTCGCTGGGTTTCCTTCTTTCGGAAGGAAGAAATGTTCGGAGGAATTTGGTCAAACTTTTTGGTCGATTATCTCGGCTCCCAGAGGCTGGTGGAGGTAGCGGTTTTCAGATTTGATATCTCCGTCCTACCCTCCCCATCACTGCAACAGTCGTTTTACAAAATCGATCCGTGATTTAAGTGACTTCCCTTGTAAGTGACGATTGGTGTTTTAAATTACTAATTGATGTGTATGTTGTATTTACCCACTGCCATTTGCACGCTATAGCCGTAATTGTAATGATTTGAGAGAGTTTTATTTATTTAATCATCCTTTTTTTGGGTCCAACCCAAAATCATAACGTAAATGTATAAAGCATATTGAATTGATACGAGTAAATCAGTTTATTTTGAAGAGGAGGATGTGAGAAGTTGGATTCTTAATTAAAAGTGATTTTGATTTGGGAAAAGGAAGGCTGAAATTCGGAGGTTTTTGAAAGGGATCAAAAGGAGCGAAAATTCAAAATTTGAAAAAAAATAGTAAAAATATTCTCAATAGTTGTCACTGCCGCTCTGCTCCCGCCAAATTTCCACGCTCCCCGAGGCCCTTCAGAGCCGTGATCAGGTGGCCGAGTGGTTAAGGCGATGGACTGCTAATCCATTGGGGTTTCCCCGCGTGAGTTCGAATCTCATCCTGATCGAATCAAGTTTTTGACGAATTTTACGAGGATTTTTAGACTTTTTAAATTGGGGACTTGATTGGAAGTTGTTGTAGAGGGTATAGGATTTATTTTTAACCATTTTTTGCCGTAATTTGGGGATTTTTAGGCTTTTTGAAATGGAGAATTGATTGGAAGTTGTTGTAGAGGGTATAGGATTTATTTTTTAAACCATTTTTGTCGCAATTTGGATAGTTTTTGAGGTTTTTTGGGGGAAAATTCATCTTTTGTCCAATTTTTTGCGGAAAATCGTCTTTTTGATCAAATTTTACTTGGATTTTCAGATGTTTTGATGTAGCGCAGTGATTGGAATTTTTTGTAGAGTGTATAGGATTTACTTTTGAATCATTTGTTGTCGAAATTTGGATACTTTTTGAAGGTTTTTGGAGGAAAATTCATTTTTTTCGCAATTTTTTGCGAAAAATCACATTTTAGAAGTGGAAATGTATTCAAAATAGCAGAATAATATATTTTCAGCGCCATTTCGCAGATTTTTTTTGTCAATTTAGTAGTTTTGCCACTCATTTTTTGAAAGTTTTTGAAAAAAAATTCTCATTTTTTCTTCCAAACCTGATAGAATCCAACTTTTTTGATTTTTTAATGAACTAAACTATACTAAAGTTATTTTACAATATCAGAATTTTACTTTTAGACATTTTTCGCTTCCTTATTTTCACATTTTTACTCGATTTTCGCATTTTTTTAGAAAAAAAAGAAAAAATATATTTTTTGGGTCAAGACCGGTCAAGAGCCAATCAGCGCACCGGTTGCGCAACATGACCGATCGTAATAATATTATTCCGACACATTAAGCCCAATATGGCGGCAAAGACAAAAAGGGCTCAAGTGTCGCCGAAATCGCGCCTTTTTGTATTTCCGGTCCCATCTTGATGTCGCCGCCTGAAAATTTTATTGTCCGCCAAATTTTCGAGCCCGTTCTAAACGATTTTTTTCGATTTTAAGGCCGAAATGAGAAAAGAAATTCGGATTTTTTTTGGGAGAAATAGGTCGTATTTTAGTTTTTTTTAAGGCTCAAAAAGTATCTTAATAAATTCTATAGTGTTTACTGTCTCCGTTATTATCTATTAAACTCTCTTTTATACATCAAAAAATTTTTTATGACCGAATTTTACCCTATTTTAGCCTTTTTTGCCAAAAAAAAACTTCAAAAAATCCGTATTTTAGAAATTTCCAAAAACAAAAAAGCCTCCAAAAAAAATCTACAGCACTTACTGTCTCATAAATTATCTATTTAACTGTCTTTAATTTACTATGAAATTTTTTATGACCGAATTTTACCCTATTTTAGCCTTTTTTAGAAAAAAAGCTTCAAAAAATCCGTATTTTAGAAATTTCCAAAAACCAAAAAGCTTTCCAAAAAATTCTACAGTTTTTTCCGGCCCAGTAATCGCCAATTTCACTATCTTTTATCCACCATAAAATTTTTTATGATCAAATTTTACTTTATTTTAGCCTTTGTTTGCAAAAAAGCTTCAAAAAATCCGTATTTTAGATATTTCCAAAAGCCAAAAAGCCTCCCAAAAAATTCTACATCATTTACTATCACAGAAATGAACCATTAAAGTATCTTTTATCCATTACAAAATTTTTTTATGACCAAATTTTACCTTATTTTAGCCTTTTTTCGTAAAAAACTTTTAAAAATCCGTACTTTAGCCAATTCCAAAAACTAAAAAGCCTCCCAAAAAATTCTACAATTTATTTTGTGTCAGAAATTAGCTATTTGAGTATCCTTTATCCATTACAACATTTTTTATGACTGAATTTTACCTCATTTTAGCTTTTTTTCGCAAAAAACTTCAAGAAATCCGTACTTTAGCAAATTTCAAAAACCAAAAAGCATCTCAAAAAGTTCTACAGTCTTTTCCGGTCCCATTAGTCGCCAGTTTCACTATCTTTCATGTACTACGAAATTTTTATGACCAAATTTTACCTTATTTTAGCTTTTTTTCGCAAAAAACCTCAAAAACTCGGTATTTTAGCAATTTCCATAAACCAAAAAGCCTTCCAAAAAATTCCACAGTCTTTTCCCGTCCCAGTAATCGCCAATTTCACAACATTTCATCGCCGCTCCCAGCGTTTACGACCGACCTTATGGTTGGAGCACGCGGCCTTTGAGGCCTTAATTAATCATAGGCAGCAGCGTTGGCATTCCCGACCTTTTGCAATGCATCCGGAAGGAAGTTGGAGCCCGCTGAAAGTGCGACTCATTAATCTTGGTATCGTTCTCGGCCGGTTTTATTCATTTCGAACATTTTTTTTTCATTTTTTTCGCATTCGCGGTTATTCTCTGCGCCATTGAGCGCCGGTTATGGAATGAGAATGGCGCAAAAGTTGGGGGAGATTTGTTTGCCTCAACTTATTCATATCCGAGGCGCCGTTTTTAAAAATTTTTTATTTTTTTTTGGGGATTTTATGGATTTGGGCGATTTGCACTGTGCGAAAACAGTTTTTCACCCAATTTTTGAGCGATTTGCACTGGGTAGAGAAGTTTGCGACCATTTTTTGGCATTTTCATGTCAAGAAAAATGTAAAAATACATTCTGCAACCTTCTCCTTATCTCAATTCAAAATATATGCGTTTTTTACTTTTGCGCACTGTGCGGAGCCCCCTTTTCCTTTGATTTTCTCCTTGCACTGTGCGAAATGCAATTTTCTTCTGCACCGTGCAGTCGACCGTCTTTTCAACTTTTTTCTGCTTTGAGAATGCACAGTGCAAATTTTTTTTGTCACAAAAAGTTTGCACAGTGCAATCATTTTTGCGATGCCGCACTGTGCAAAATCAAAATCAATTTCTCACCTTTTCACTTTTGTTTTGCACGGTGCAGTCTCCTTTTTTCCTTTGCACAGTGCAGTTTCCGCGATAACTTTTGCACTGTGCAAGCCGATTTGTTTTGTTCTTTGCACAGTGCAGCCTCTTTTTTCTTTTGTGACGCGGTAACTTTTTCGCACTGTGCAAATTGATTTTTTTTTTGTTTTTTGCACAGTGCGATCAGTTCTTCTTTTGATTTTATGCACGGTGCAAATTTTTCCTGTTCGATTTGCGACAATGTCTGCACGGTGCAAAACAAAAATCTTCGCCCGCACTGTGCATGGTGCAACCCCTTATTCTTTCAATTTTTTGCACAGTGCAGTCTCCTTTTCTCTTCTCCGTCGTCTTTTGGACTGTGCGTTTTCCAACACTTCCGTCTTGCACCGTGCAAATGGCCTTTCTATTTTTCGCACAGTGCAACTTTTTCTTTCCGATTTGCGCGACAATTCCTGCACGGTGCAAAGAATTTCTTGCATTAATTCTGCACTGTGCAATTGAACTTTTTTATTTTGCGCACAGTGCAACTTTTTCTTTCCGATTTGCGCGACAATTCTTGCACAGTGCAAAAAATTTCTTCGCTCGCACTGTGCAATTGAACTTTTAATTTTTCGCACAGTGCGATCCGTTCTTCTTTCGGTTTTTTGCACAGTGCAGCCAATAAAATTACGGTAAATCCACAGGGGTATGTAACGGGGTGTTTTTTATTGGATTGCGAACTTACGAGCCCATTTTCTTTTTCGTCCCATCGCTTTGTTTGGAACACCGCTTTTCGGCGCCGACTTCTGAAGCCATTTTGCGATCTTTTTTGTGCGGAAAATTCAGTGGAGACAAAAAAAAATTATTTCCACTAAATCCACATTAAAGAAAACGTATTTTACAATGCTTTTTGAGCCTTTATTTTCGATTTTTTCTCGGAAAAATCAAGTTTTATTAGAAATTTCACGATTTTTTGCCGATTTTTTCAATTTTTCATCATTTTTCGGCCAAAAAATCGGTCCAAAATTGACCTCCAAACACATGGACCAACGACCAATCCGATTTCATAGTCAGATTTGTCCGAGATCAGTCTGAAAAAGTCGCAAATTTCATCAAAAAATAGTCCCGAGACCCTTCCTTGGCTATGATTCATGGGAATTAAGCTTTTTTCCCTTTCAAAATAGACAAATTGATAAGCTCTGGTTGCTCAGTCACATATTCACTCCATTCTCAGTATTTTTTAAGTCAGGTTTTCGAGAAATTTGTGATTTTTTTGATGGAAAATTCAGGGATTTTGAGGAAAAATCGCTAATTTTGGGGAAAAAGTTCGTCGGAAGCTCCGAATAGCCGTTTATTGTGCTCTTTATGTCATTACCACATCGAGTCGGACCTCTTGCTGTGCCGTGCGATTCGTTTTTTGGTTTGGGGGGACAAAAAATTTTCGGATTTTTGCGAAACTTTGAGATTTTTTGCGATTTTTTGATGAATTAAAGGGAAATTTGAGGTCATACAATATTCTGCGTATTTTAAGATATTTTAGAATGCTTCTAGTACTTCAAAAATCTCAAATTTCCTCCGAAAAAATCAAAAAATCAAGATTTTTCGCCATTTTTGGCATTTTTCCCCAAAATTTGCAAATTTTTGTAGCAAAAGCTGTTTTAGCCCTGGGGCAGTCTTATCAAAACACTATCAGCGACTCGTTGCGACCTGCGGACCTCGGTGGGGCTCCGTTTTTCCCGCAATCCACGTGATTTTTCCCTCCAAAAATTGGTTTATTTGGCGTCGTAAAAACTGTTAAAGTTGGCGGCTTTTTGGATTTTCCTTTCATTTTTTTTCAAGCGTTTTGATGGTACGACAAACTTTTTTGATGTTTTTTGACTTTTATTGGAGTTTTTGGCGATTTTGAATGACAAATTTTGAGTAAAAAAAAAAGAGTTTTTTTTTTAATTTTTTGGGATTTTTTGCATTTTTTTTGTTTAAAAATGGCATAAGCCTAAAATAAAGCTCTATAAGGCATTTTCCTAATTTTTAGTTTACAAATTTTCAGAAAAAAATGACAATTTTCCCCAAAAAAAAGCAAAAATTAAAAAAAAATTTTTTTGAAAATTTTCCCTAAAAAATTGGCGTTCTCTTTGACATCAACAGTACAATATTTCCCCAAAAAATGAGTTTTTTCCAACCGCTATTCGCAAAGATACAGCTAATTAAAGAGTTTTCTCTGACCGTCTCTCCTCATTCCACGTTCTCTCTCGGAAAAAAGATTGTTGAATATCTCAGCGGCCCTTGCGAATTATGACCTCAAATTTTCAGTGATAAATATGTCTACCACGTATAGTAATCATGCCAAATTTGAAGAAAATCCGAGGGCTACCCTCTGAGAAATTTCATTTTTAGTCAAAAATCACTGTTTTTTGACCAAAAATGGCTTACAAATCCAATTTTTCGGATGAAAGCGAAGGAAAACTCAGTAATTAGTAACGTGAAAAGCCTTGCAAATTACTTTTTATCCCTTTTTATCTTTGTTTAGCTTCAGAATTTATTGATTTTCATCGATTTTTTGCTAAATTATTCGTCAGAATCCGAAATTTTTTGAACTTCCCCGAAAATTCGAATTCCAAAACAAAAGGCGATGATCCAATGTGGTGGCCGCAAAGTTTTGGCCACCAGCGCGTTTTTATAGCGTCATTAGGGGGTCGTCCGAACAAAGTTCAGCCAAAATCAGACAAAAAAGTCTAATTTGGGCGAAAAAATGAGAAAAAAAGAGATTTTTCGGGTAAAAAGTACCGTAATTTGATTGAAAATATTTTTGACAGCTTATAAACAGCCTGTATTTTACCATGGTATATGATTTTTTTAGCAACTGAAAAAAAATTTTTTTTGATTTTTCAAAAATTTTGATATTGGTTTAGTACTGTAATTCGATTAAAAATATTTTTTACAGCTTATAAACAGCTTGTATTTTACAGTGGTATGATTTTTTTAGCAACTGAAAAAATTTTTTTTTGATTTTTTAAAAATTTTGATATTGTTTTAGATGGAAAATGGAATTATTACAACGAAAAGCGATTTGCGTTCTCCGTTTAATTTTTTTTCTGTTTTTTATAGCGGATCAGGCCGTTCCCCAGGTATAATCATATCTTATTCTTATCATTTTTCCGTTTTCTTCGCTTCAACTATAATATTTTAATTCCTTGGGGGCTTAAGACGGAACAGTCATCGATTTTTGGGCGTATTTTAGGCGTGGGAATGACTTTAGAGGCTTTTCCAAACTTTTTTAGCAATATTTTTTAAAAATTTTAGTTTCATTTTTTGCACCGTGCGGTTTTGGTTTTCATCTGCACAGTGCAGTTAATTTTCAGTTTTCTCTTGCACTGTGCATTTCTTAACTTTCTTTCGCACAGTGCACACAAAGCTCAAACATCAAAATGCACAGTGCGGAAAGAAAAAGGAAGAATGAGGACCGCACGGTGCAAAAAATGCGACAAATATTTGCACGGTGCGATTAGTCTTGTCTTGCACCGTGCGTTTTTTATCTTTATGTCTCACAGTGCACACAAAGCTCAAAAACAAGATGCACAGTGCGGAAAAACAAGGAAGAAGTGCGACAAACATTTGCACAGTGCGAAAGGATGAGGAGAGAAAGTTTTGCACAGTGCAAAGGACTGCGATAAGAAACTGCACCGTGCGGAAAATTAGAAAAGAGATTTGATGCGTCGTGCACTGTGCAGAAGCTGCGACAAGTAATTGCACCGTGCGACGGGAGTTTTGCACAGTGCAAAGTTCCGACTGGAAACTGCACCGTGCGGAAGAGGAGAAAAATGATTTGCACTGTGCGAAAAATTAGAAAAAATATTTGCTGCGTCGTGCACTGTGCAAAAGCTGCGGCAAATAATCGCACCGTGCGAAAATTCAAAGCGCGAGAAAACGCACTGTGCAGTTTCAAGTCGGGAATTTTGCACGGTGCAAAAATGAATTTTGGAAAAATTATGCACTGTGCGGACTTTTCAAGCGGTTTTGCACGTCGCGAAGGGTAAACCAGAGCTAAATTATGACTCTATTTTTGTTTATTACATCATATTCTTACTGTACTCTTCATTTCAGACCACTTTCCCTATAAAATCTCGTCAATTTTTTTTGGAATTCCCTGCAAACCGATACGATTTCGGGGCCGTCAAAACGGGAAATATCAAATTCAAAAAGCGTTTACACGAAAGTCCCGAAACTCAAAAAAAAATCTCGGCAAATATTTGCCGAATTTTCTTATGAAATTTTTATGAAAATCTTTGGGATTTGGACACGACATTCTTTACGACCCGGACTTTGTGGTTTTATGCACCGTGCAGTCAGTTTTTAATCTTTGTTTGCACTGTGCGGAGAACGAAGATTAAAAATGCACAGTGCGGTTTGAATTTTTTCGCCGCACGGTGCGAAGAATTGTTGTTGCCGCACTGTGCAAAAAAGTTTTTGTCGCCGATTGCACAGTGCAGTAAGTTTTTAGTCTTTGTGTGCACTGTGCGGAGAGCGAAGATTAAAAATGCACAGTGCGGTTTGAAATTTTTCGCCGCACGGTGCAAAGAATTGTTTCTGCCGCACTGTGCAAAAAAGTTTTTTCGCCGATTGCACAGTGCGGTATGCTTCTGGCTTTCCTGTTTTTATCTTGCACTGTGCGGAGAAAGAAGATTAAAAATGCACAGTGCGGTTTTAATTTTTTCTCCGCACAGTGCAAAGAATTGTTGTTGCCGCACTGTGCAAAAGAGTTTTTGTCGCCGATTGCACAGTGCAGTCAGTTATTAGTCTTTGTTTGCACTTTGCGGTGAACGAAGACTAAAAATGCACAGTGCAATTTTAATTTTTTCGCCGCACGGTGCGACGAATTGTTTCTGCCGCACTGGCAAAAAAGTTTTTGTCTCCGAAAAAGCTTCATTGCACAGTGCAGCAACCTCTTCATCATCACCGCGGTGCACCGTGCGTTTCTTCTTGCTTTCTTTTTTTCTCTTTGTTTGCACTGTGCGGAGAGCGAAGATTAAAAATGCACAGTGCGGTTTGAATTTTTTCGCCGCACGGTGCGAAGAATTGTTTCTGCCGCACTGTGCAAGAAAGTTTTTGTCGCCGATTGCACAGTGCAGTACCCTCCTCACCGCGGTGCACCGTGCATTTCTTCTCGCTTTCTTTTTTTTCTTTTCTGCACTGTGCATTGCAGAAAAGATGAAAATTTTTTTGCACGGTGCGTTCTGACTTGGACTTTCGGTCGCACTGTGCAAATGCTTTTTGGACTTGAATTTTGTTTTGGATTTCGCTCCTGACTCTTTTTTGTTGCCCAATTAAAATTTTTGCATTTTACAACGCGCTTTTGTCAGGGCTTTTATCTGATTTCAGCCAAAAAGGGCGGTTTTTTGTAAAAGTCGGAGGAAATATGGTAATTTATGGGTTCGAGGGAGTTTTTTTGCTTGTCTCAAGTCAGAATTAAGTTGTTTCAAGTCGAAAGATTGCATCTTCAAGCGGAATAGTTCAATTTTATCATTTCTCCGGGATTTTGGCAGACATTTGGCATTCTGTTGCAAGCCATTTTTTTCGGACAAAAATCGCGAAAAATCTCGAGAAACTTGTTGTTTGCGACTTGTTTCGGTTCCATCTTCTCGTTTTGCTATCTGTTTTACTTATTTTTACTCGATTTCTCTTTAATTATATTGTTTTAGAGGACCAAACTATGAAATGGTCGCCAAATCCCTACTAACCCTGGTTTTACTGATCCAATCAGCGACGTCGATCAAACGAGCGCTTTACAAAGATGGCGACACATATAATCTACCACCCCAGAGGAAATGTAAGTGGTTTTCTGAATAATTTTTTCTTCATGGATAAGGTCTTGGAATTTTGATTCACATGGAGAATATCTGGGTTTAATTGAGCAAGTTTTGAGTCTTAGACAAAGAATAGACTCTGATGAAGGTTGTACATAGATTTCATGAGGTTCTGAGTGCGTCTTCTACTCTTTTTGACTTGATTTAGGTATCAATGGGTCTATTTTTAACATGGATAACATTTTGATGTCCCACGGCGCGGAATGTTTATTTTTCTCAAATTTTTTGATGTTTCCAACTGTATTAAGCTTCGTGCTTGCTATTTATGAGACTTCCACGTTGTTTTCATAGGGAAATATTGTTTTAGACATCAGTTTTTAGTTGAAGGTCAAGCATAAGGTTGAGAGCAAAATTTGAGCCGAAAATTTTGGATTTTGCTTTGAAAGGTCTGTAATATGAAGTAGATGCCTTATTTACATTTATAATTGCGGAAACAAGATAAAATTGCATAACTTTTCATCAGTTTTTCAAGAGATGCCTCATGGGTAATGTAGTGGATTTTCGCGGATGTGGACGGAAACCTTGACGATATTTTGCGTTTTTTGGATAGAAAATGACTTGATCAATGGGCTGGAAAAATTTCACGGCAATATCTTGCCTATTTTTTGAGCTTTTGCCATTTTTTGTTTTACTTGTAGACAGCTCATCATGGGTAATATTTTCGCTCTTTTCTCCTCAAATCTCTCTTTTATCTTGTAGTCTCTTGATATCCAATGATAGAACAAGCCATCCAGATTCTAAGAAATGTCTTTTCAACTTGATATAACATGACTAACCACACTAATTCGACTAACTTTTGCAGGGACAGTAAATGACCAGGAAGGCAAGTTTAACACACTAATTGCGGTGGTGTAAACGTCTTGTTTCTGTGTAATTTGTCCTCCATATTGTTGTTTACCTCGTGTAATTTATTTTTTCTCCAAAAATTTGCATTTTGCCTCAGGCAATTTACCCTGTTTTCCCTGGAAATCAAAATTTTCGCTAATTTTTTGATTTTTTTGTTTTTTAGTCTGCCTTGGCACTACGAATGGCCGAACGGCGGCTGGCGCCCTCCCCAATGAGACCCGCTACGAAGTGTTGTTGAAGAGTTTCGTCCGCTGCAAGCGGATTATCGGCAATTTGGAGATCAGCCACATTAGTCATAATGACACAATTAACGATGTCGACGTTCGAATCGACAATGGAACACAGATTGTTACGCGCAGAAAGCCCTTTTGGTTCCTTCATGATCTTGAAGAGGTAATATTTCGTCATTTTGTTATGAAAAATGCGAAAATTTGAAAAATTTTTGTAAAATTCTTGAAATTTTTTGAATTTAAATTCGTTTATTTTGAAATTTATTGATGCTGAATTGTTGTTTAAGCTTTTCATTTACTGTATATTCAGTAAAATACAATCTGATTTCATAAAAATCGAAAAAATATCAAAATTTCATCAAAAACCCCCTCTTTTCACCTAAAACAAGGTGAAACTCCTTGAAAAAACGCTCAAAACTCATGAAATTTCCTTTCAGATTACCGGCTACATCCTCATCTACAACGTGGAGATCAAAGAAATCGCATTCCCGTCGCTGAAAATCATCTGGGGCGACAAATTGCACGAGGGCCAGGCAATCCAGCTGGATTCGAACCCATTTCTGACGATTGTCAACCTCCCACAGCTCCGCGAAGTCCATCACGGCACGATTCAGATCCGCCGGTGTCCCCGGCTTTGCTTCATACGCAAGACGGTCGATTTTGGAGAGGTGAATTTTGAGATTTTTTTGAAATTTAGGCATGAATAAGATGGAGATGGAAAATTTTTGCAAAAAAATTTCATTTTTTTTGCAGCTGCTGGGCTCAGGAAGTCAATTCCGCGTCAGATTCATCGATGAAGTGCCTCCCGTATGCCCGCCGGTGGTCGAATGTCACCCATCTTGCAATGGAAATTGCTTCGGCCCAACGGAAAATCAGTGTCAGACAGGTAAAGAAGTGGGTCAGGAATGAAATTCAGAGGATTTTCGGAAATTTTGGGTCGTATTTTAGGCTGGGACTGGAAATTTGGGCGGGGTATTGGGTGTTTTAGGAGGTTTGGACCTTATTTTAGGTAATTTTTTGATTTTTTTGGAAATTTGGAAGGGTTTTATGATGCCTTTGGAGGATTTTAGAGAGTTTTAGAGTGTATACAAGCTTGTTTGAAGGGTTGAAACTTGAAATTTGGTTGTTTTTGAAAATTTTAGACATTATTTTAGGTAATTTTTAGGGTTTTTTTGGAAATTTGGAAAGGTTTTATGATGCTTTTGGAGGATTTTATAAAGTTTTAGATGGTTTATTAGCTTTTTTGAAGGGTTTGAATTTGAAATTTGATTGTTTTTATTTTTTTAGACTTTATTTTAGACGATTTTTAGTGATTTCGCCCCATTTGAAGCTGTTTTTGTTTATTTGTTGCTAGTGAAGGACTGTAGTTAGTCAAAGAATTCTTCGAGCGAACGATTTCACCTATAAAAATGAGGTTTTTGATTAAAAAATGCTATCTTTTCATGGTTTACCCCTAATTTTAGTCTACCGCCGTCAATGCTCGGCCTGCTCGTCCGGCCAATGCTACCAGAAGGCGGGCGTCACCCACTGCTGCGACGAGGCCTGTCTGGGCGGCTGCTTCGGCGACGGGAAGGACCAGTGCGTCGCGTGTCTGGACTACCAGGAAGACGGCCGCTGCGTGACGGAATGCCGCGGCACCTCGCGCTACAACAGCTCCCTCATGATCATGCAGCCGATGCCCGACCGCGAGAAGCGCTATTACTACGAGAAGCACTGCGTCCAGCAATGTCCAGCCGGCACGTTGATCGAGGACCGGTATTGTGTCGCACGGTGCAGCGAGGGAAAGTACAGAGACCCGTCGGGTAAGGAATGCACGGGGCGGAAGAGGGAGGGGGAATGAAATGCACAGTGCAAATCCTGCGACAAAGGAGTGCACGGTGCGGCCGGAAAATTGAAGGAAAGGGGAAATGCACAGTGCAAATCCTGCGATAAAGGAGTGCACGGTGCGGAAGGGAAAGAAAACAAAAAGTGCACCGTGCGAAATCCGCAACAAAGGAATGCACGGTGCGGCCATAAAAAATAATGAAAGGGGAATGCACAGTGCGAAAAGGGCGGGAAAGAATGAGTAGACGCACTGTGCAAATCCTGCGACAAAGGAATGCACTGTGCGAAAGGGAAAGAAAACGGAGAGTGCACAGTGCGAAATGAGAGTATTTTCTGTTGTCCGCAAATAAGATTTCAATTGTCCGCAAATAGTTTTTCAATTGTCCGCAAATCCAAATTTTTTTTTGTCCGCAAATAATCGGCTTTTCATTGTCCGCAAATAATTTTTTTAATTGTCCGCAGGTAAAATTTCGTAATTAAAACAGCAGTAGTAGGAAAACCTTCTTACATACAAGGGATGGAAAATGGTTTTAAACGAGTGTAGCTTTTTCTCGATGCATTTTTGTGGTCACAGTGAAAGGCCACATACTTTTTTTTAAAATTTTTTAATTTGCGGACATTGAGAATCCAAAAGGCTTTTCATTGTCCGCAAATAAATTTTTTGGCCAAATGGCCATGGTTGGGGTGGAGTTGGGCCAAGATGATTCTGGAATGTGATCTAAATAATTTTTAGAGCATGTCTGGTAATTTTTGGGGCCAGTGGTGCCCCTCTAATTCCAGAATCATCTTGGCCCAACTCCACCCAACCATGGCCATTTGGCCAAAAAATTTATTTGCGGACAATGAAAAGCCTTTTGGATTCTCAATGTCCGCAAATTAAAAAATTTTAAAAAAAAGTATGTGGCCTTTCACTGTGACCACAAAAATGCATCGAGAAAAAGCTACACTCGTTTAAAACCATTTTCCATCCCTTGTATGTAAGAAGGTTTTCCTACTACTGCTGTTTTAATTACGAAATTTTACCTGCGGACAATTAAAAAAATTATTTGCGGACAATGAAAAGCCGATTATTTGCGGACAAGAAAAAATTTGGATTTGCGGACAATTGAAAAACTATTTGCGGACAATTGAAATCTTATTTGCGGACAGTGAAAATGGCGTCGGTGCGAAATCTACGACAAAAGAATGCACTGTGCGAAAAGGGCGGGAAAGGATGAGTAGACGCACTGTGCAAATCCTGCGACAAAGAAGTGCACAGTGCGGAAGAAAAAGAAACCAAGGAATGCACCGTGCGAAACCCGCAATAAGGAATGCACGGTGCCGCCGGAAAATTGAAGGAAAGAGGAAATGCACTGTGCAAATTTTGCGACAAAGGAGTGCACAGTGCGGAAGAAAAAGAAACCAAGGAATGTACGGTGCGAAACCTGCAATAAGGAATGCACGGTGCGGTCGGAAAATTGAAAGACATGCACAGTGCAAATCCTGCGACGAAGGTGTGCACAGTGCGAATCTGCAAAAAAGAAGTGCATGCACTGTGCGGAGGGAAGGGAACTTGGAGTGCACGGTGCGGCAAAAAGAAGTGTTGCACATCGCAAGAGTAGTTTTTTCGGTGGGATTGCACTGTGCGTTTTATTTGATGAGTGCACTGTGCGATCACCGAAAAATAAACGATTGCACTGTGCCGGGTTTTCAGCAAACAAAAAAATTGTGCAGCGACAAATTTGTTGTGGATCCGAAAATAAAATTCGTCGTATTTCAGGCGATGAGCGGCACTGTGTGCCCTGCGACGGGCCCTGCCCCAAAGTATGCGTTCTCACCGAATCCATCGACTCCCATAACATCCATCAGCTCGCGAATTGCTCGGAAATCGAAGGGAATTTGGAGATTCTGAACTACGTCTTCAGTCCCCATCTCCCCCATATGAAGACCAGCCAGATGGACAAAGTCCGTCCGTCGCTGGTTGAGCCGCTGAAAATACAGGACCTGAATGTTTTAAAGTCCGTGAAAATCGTGACTGGACATGTTGCCCTGGACGGAGGAGTCAAGCGAGGTCAGTTGGAGGCGGTTTGCATCAATTTTGGAGAGTTTCAGGTTTTCGTGGTGGGACCCAAAATGGGAAAAATTGAGAAAATACTGCACGAACTGGGGGATTTAGAAGGGATTTAGTTGTAAAATACGTCAGTATTCTTTTTTAAATTGAATTTTGATGGTTTTCGAGAGAATTCAGGTTTTCGTGGTGGGACACAAAATGGGAAAAATCGCTGAAATGGTCGTTTAGATTTCATTTCTTGGTAAAATACGTTTCCTAGAAAACAATTTGGTTGATTCTGAGGAATTTTTGAAGGTGAAGGTTTTCGTGGTGGGACCAGAATTTGTAAAAATCGAAAAAATTGAGGAAATGGAGAGGTTTGAGAGTCAGTCGTGGTAAAATAAGGCGCATACATGACAACGCTAATAATTTTTTTCATGTTTTGAAGATTGAAAGTCTTCGTGGCGGGAATCAAAATTTAGAAATTTTTAAAAATTTCATAATTTTTGAGATACAGTGGCGGACCGGATCTAGTGACAAAAAACGTACCATTTTGCATCCGGGAAGTATCAAAAATGTAGCAAAATGCTTCCCTTTCCAGTGAAAAGACTTCGTTTTGAAGGGCGCGCTTTTGAAATCTGAGTTTTTTCACTTGGAGAGGGAAGCATTTTGCCACAATTTTTGATGTTTCTCGGATGCAAAATGGCACATTTTTTGCCACTGGATCCTCACTGTATTTCACATCAAAAATTATGAAATTTTCAAAAATTTCTAAATTTTGATTCCCGTCACGAAGACTTTCAATCTTCAAAACATGTAAAAAAAATTGTTTACGTTGTCATCTATGCCCTTTATTTTACGACGACTGACTCTCAAACCTCTCCATTTCCTAAATTTTTTCGATTTTTTTCCGAATTTTGGTCCCACCACGAAAACCTTCACCTTCAAAAATTCTTCAGAATCAACCAAATTGTTTCCTAGGAAACGTATTTTACCAAGAAATCAAATCTAAACGACCGATTTCAGCGATTTTTCCCATTTTGGGTCCCACCACGAAAACCTGAATTCTCTCGAAAACCATCAAAACTCAATTTAAAAAAGAACACTGAAGAACCAGTCGTATTTTACCAATGAATCCCTTCTCAATTCCCCAGTTTGTGCAGTATTTTCTCAACTTTTTTCCATTAATCAAATCTAAACGACCAGCAGCAGCTTGATTCTCGTTCATATTTTAGGGTCAGACGGGCCCAGATCCCTCGATTTCCTCGAGAATTTGGAAGTGATCGAAGGCCGCACCCTGTATTTTGAGAAGTATTCGTTTTATGTGATTGGCAACGATAATATGCACGCTTTGGGCCTGAAATCGCTCCGCAAAATCGCGAACGGCGGCATCTCGCTGACGAAGAATAAGAACCTTTGCTTCGGCCAAACCATCCCATACAAGGAACTGTTCGGCGTGAAGGATGTGGTCATCAAGGAGAACATGAATCAGACAACTTGTGGTGAGTTTGATGCATGGAAGGGGATTTGTTAGCATTTAGAGCAGCTTGAAGATATTTCGGAGCCTTTGAAAACACGATAAAATAGTAATTCAGCCGAAAATTGGATTTTTTTACAATTTATGGGTCTAAAATAAGGTAAATTGGTGTTTGCAGAGAACCTCGGCCGAGTTTGTGACCCCACATGTCATCCAGAATTCGGATGTTGGGGCCCAGGACCCTCGCAATGCGTCAAATGCCTCAATTTTACCAAAGATGGATACTGCTCCGACAAATGCCCAACTCATGATGGGTAAGTTTTCTCTCCTCTTTCGCACTGTGCACACAAAGGTCAAACAACAAAATGCACTGTGCGGAAAGAAAAAGGAAGAATGAGGAGCGCACGGTGCAAGAATTGCGACAAACATTCACTTTGGGTCGCAATCGAAGGTTTCCGTTTTTGCACCGTGCAAAACTTTCTCTTGTTTGTCGCAATTTTTTTGCCGGGCGGCGTGAGGTCTCAATCGATGGAATTTTGCACGGTGCAAGCGAAAAGATCAATTTGCACGGTGCGACACGACGAAAACAACGATTGCACAGTGTAAAAAAAAAACAAAAAGAGAAAATCGCGGGAAATGGGGAGATTGCACAGTGCATTCCCTAGCGACGTCGCAAACGAACAATTCGCACCGTGCAAGCTGTCGTTTTCGCGCAATGCGGCCCTCCCTCCAAGTTTCCCGCCAATTTTCGATTCCTCTTTTCTTTTTTGGAGGCGTGATCAGGTGGCCGAGTGGTTAAGGCGATGGACTGCTAATCCATTGGGGGTTTCCCCGCGTGAGTTCGAATCTCATCCTGATCGAACTTGTTTTTGAGCGCGGATTTGACCGATTTTTGGTTGGAAAAGTATGGAAAATTGTAAAATATTTGTTTAGTAGTTGTTTCAGTGTAGATTTAGTCTGGTTTTTTTTTGAAAACGGTTGATTTTTTGTCGAAATTTTAGATTTTTTTCGATTTTTTGACATTTTCGCCAATATTTCCCCCATTTTTTAGGTATTTCATCTCCCGCACCGACCCATCGGACTGTCGCCCATGCGCCGACGAATGCCTCCGCTGCCAAGGCCCCACCGACTCGGATTGCCTCAAATGTCGATGGTTTGAAATGCCGAAATTGGTCGGAAATCAACTGAAATGCGTCCGCCAATGCCCCGCCGACACCTTCCAACACCTCAACCGGTGCGTGAAATGCGCTCCGGCCTGCTATCAGCACGGCTGCACCGGAAACGGAACCCATCTCGGCGCCGGCGGATGCAATAAATGCCTTTTCGCCATCCGAAACACCTCCCAAGTGGAGTGTCTGGAGGGCGAGACGGAGGAAAGTGTGTGCAAGGAGAATGGATTCGTCAATTATCATCTGAGTTTGGGCTCCTTGAAGGAGAAGAACACGAAATTTGTGGGTTTTTGAGATTTTTTGATATTACTTTAGGTGATTTTGAAAAATTTTTTATGAAATTTTGGGAATTTTGAAAGTTTTTTAGGTTTTTGGGGGCATTTACTGCATTTAAAAAGCATTTGAAATGCATTTTTTGGAAATTTTCTAAAAATTTTGCCAATTTTTGATATTAATTTAGGTGATTTTGAAAAATTTTTGATGAAATTTTTGGGATTTTGAAAGTTTTTTAGGTTTTTGGGGGCATTTACTGAATTTACAAAGCATTTGAAATGCATTGTTCGGAAATTTTGTAAAAATTTTGTCAATTTTTGATATTAATTTAGGTGATTTTGATGAATTTTGGAAAAAATTTTGGGGATTTTCAGAGTTGTTGAGGGTTTTGAAGGCATTTACTGCATTTACAAAGCATTTGAAATGCATTGTTCGGAAATTTTGTAAAAATTTTGTCAATTTTTGATATTACTTTAGGTGGTTTTTGATGAATTTTTGATGAAATTTTGGGAATTTCGAGAGTGTTTTAGGTTTTTGGGGGCATTTACTGCATTTACAAAGCATTTCAAATGCATTTTTTGGAAATTTTCTAAAAATTTTATCAATTTTTTGATATTAATTTAGGTGATTTTGAAAAATTTTTCTTGAAATTTTGGGAATTTTGAAAGATTTTTAGGTTTTTGTGGGCATTTACTGAATTTACAAAGCATTTGAAATGCATTGTTCGAAAATTTTGTAAAAATTTTGTCAATTTTTGATATTAATTTAGGTGATTTTGATGAATTTTGGAAAAAATTTTGGGGATTTTCAGAGTTGTTGAGGGTTTTGAAGGCATTTACTGCATTTACAAAGCATTTGAAATGCATTGTTCGGAAATTTTCTAAAAATTTTGTCACTTTTTGATATTAATTTAGGTGATTTTGAAAAATTTTTGATGAAATTATGGGAATTTCGAGTGCTCCAAGGGATTTTCATGGGTTTTTTGTGATTTTGAAAGAATTTGGGAAGCTTTGCCTTAGGGCATTTTTGAAATAAGATCGATTTTTTAAAATTTTGGATATTGTTTTAGGTAATTTTGCTCATTTTTTTGCTTTTTTAAAATTTTTTTCTTGAGTATTTTGTGACAAAATGGTCTGATTAGCCATGTATTTCTATGATATTACAGTGAACATTTTCAGATGTGCGAAAAATGCCCGGAGGAATGCAGCTCTTGCACTCGGTCCACAATCGACGCCAACGACTGCGAGTGCTCAAAGTACCGCCTGGTGACCCCGAAATTCCAAGCAAATGAGACGATCGACCTACCAGACGAATGCACTCTCACTTGTGGACAGTAGGTTTTGGGGTTTGAGAGGCTCGGATATTGTTTTAGGGAAAGGAATGAATTTAGAATTTTGGGGGGATTTGGATAAAATTTTGGAGGTTTTCTTGGTGAAAATGACCTATAGTAGATTCTTATAGATCGTAAAGGATATAGGGTGTATTTTCGATATTGTTTTTATGCATTTTAGAGTTAAAAACGGGATTGTTTGGGATTTTTTGGGTTTTCCGGGCGATTTTTGGATGTCTTTTGAATTTTTTGCGACTTTAATATGTGGAGATTCTGTTTTGAGTGCCGTAAAAATTTATCATTTATTTATACCGTATTTTACAATATTTTTTTTTGTTTTTTTTTCTAAAAAATCCAGTTTGCCTCAACTTTTTTGTTATTTTTTTTCTTTTCAGTGGCTCCAGAATTATCGTGAATGCCACCGACAAGAGTCCAGTTCAGGTTTGCGAGCGTTGCAACGATCTCTGTGACCCCGACTTCAGCTGCACAGGCCCTTCCCAATTCGAATGCGATCAATGCCGAGTGGGCGGAGTCAGGACTGAAGACGATGTTACAGTAAGCTGAAATGATTTTTTTTATTTTTTTTTTTGTATTTTTGGATATAATATTCCTTTTTTGTAGTATAGTAGATCGAGTTAGTGGTGGAGACGTTTTATACGCTGCAACATGTTTCATCGTATAAAATGTCCCAAGGCCATAAAAAACACTAAGACTAATGAAGAATACGTGGAAATGAATTAAAAAGTGCTAGCTTACTATTTATGAGACGTTCCACTACATTTTAGACATTTTATACGAGAAAACATGTTTTATGGTATAAAATGTCTCGAGACCATAAAAGAACACTAAAACAAATAAAGAATACGTGGGAATTAATTTAGAAGGGCCCAATTACTATTTTTGAGACGTCCGGTGGCATTTGAGACATTTTATACGATGAAACATGTTTTTTTTTTATAAAATGCCCCTAGCGAAACTTTTATGCCCTAAATTATTTTTTCCAGGAATGCCTCCCCAAGTGTCCAGACTACGCCCCATTCACATATCAAGGAATGTGTGTGACCGAAGACACGGAAGCCATTTTGGCTCGCCGACGAAACTTTTTAATTGGCGCTGTGGTCGCCGGGTTCATCGTTGCCTCGACTGTGATCCTGATCCTGGTCTCCAGATGCATGAAGTACAGAAAGAAGTATGAAAAAGAGGCCCTCATGCACATGCCCGAGATCCCCGAACTGGACCGGAAAAAGGTGAATTTTTGTGTTTTAGAAGGATTGGTTTGGGAATTTTTATATATGAAGCGACTTTTTAAACTCTACTTGACAGATTCTATGTTTTGAGTTGGAGGAATTCACGAGTTTTTGGAAAAACGTAGGGCGCGAGCTGCCAAAAGTGGGAATTGCGGAATTCGTATAGAAGTGGAAATATATGGATTTTTTAATTGTAAAGAGCTTTTTTGGATGTGCATTATGATTGAAAAATATTAGGCTAATTGGATTTGCAAATTTTTGAAGTAACCATGGGCGCAAGCTGCGAAAAGAAAATAAAGAAAATCGGGTTTTATGCAAATTTTGCGAAGAATTTTTGAACATGAGCTGAATAGTATGATTCTGTAGAGCCTACTATGATTTTTTTGTAAAAAAATTCGCAAGTTTTTGACTAAAGGTAGGGCGCGAGCTGCCAAGTCTAAAAATTCAAAAAAAGTCCTAGAAATGAGCGGAAAATTGTCAAGGCTTAATCGATGAATAGCAAATAGCTATAATAAATTATTTCAGCTCACCCAGCGACCAAATATGGGCAGATTTACGCTGATCAGCACCGATGAATTGGACGATCCGGGTCGGAATGTTCTTGGTCAAGGCGCCTTTGGGATTGTGTATGCTGTAAGTTTAAATTGGGAAAGTGGCAGACTTTTTTGTCGATAACGTATTTTACAGTAGGGAAATTAAATTTAAAAAAAAAAAATTTTTTTTTGGGAATTTATTGGGATTTTTTAGATTTTTAGCAAATTTGAGCGTATCTTGGGAGGAATCGAAGCGTCCCGAGGATATAATGAGTATTTTGTTGAGCTAAAAATATCAAAAATTTTCTGAATTTGCCAAATTTTGAACAAAAATCGGGAAATGTTATGTTTCTTTGTCGTGAAAATAAAAAATATTAAATTTTAATCCTATTTTAGGGCAAATGGAAGCCCGCCGGACACTCCATGTCCATTCCGGTCGCCATCAAAGCCATCAACCCATCGGAGACGAAGAATGTGACCGAAAACGAGATGCTGAAAGAGGCCGGAGTCATGGGAAAAGTACGCCACGAACATCTGCTCCCCCTGGTCGGGGTCTGTCTCGCCAAAGGCGGACTCAAAATCATCACAATTCTCCGACCCTTGGGCAGTCTGTTGAAGTTCCTCCAACAGTACAAACAACGGTTGGCCGCGAAACAACTGGTCCTTTATCAATACCAAATTTCGTCCGCCATGGAGTATTTGGCCAAGAAAAAGATTGTGCACAGGGATTTGGCGGCCAGAAATGTCCTAGTCAAGACGATAAACCATGTGGAAGTCACTGATTTTGGGCTAGCACAGCTCTTGCAAAATAATGAAAATACGGTGGTGATCAAGGAGGGACGCGTGGCTGTAAAGGTACGAAAATGATGAGAAATTTAGTGAAATGTAATGCAGAAGGGAGAAGAAGAGAAAAGAGCGGAGGATTTGAGGAAAATTGAGATTTTTTACCTAAAATAAGGTCATTTTCACCTTGTTTTAGGTAAATTGATGGAATTTTTGATGAAAAAAGTCTTTGTGGTTGTTGAGAAAAGTCGAAAATGAAAGTATGATGTGATTTCGTCAAGAAAATAGGCATAAAACAGAATGCCAAAAATTCAGGGGATCGTGTCGTGACTAAATTTTTTTGTTTTTTGTACCGGGAAGATGGATGAATTGATAAAACAGACGTCTAGTAAGACGAATACGTTCAATTACACATATTTTTTATGTTACTTTACTAAAAAAAATCATTTTTTTCCAAATTTTTCACTTTTTCAGTGGCTCGCCCTAGAATCCCTCAGAACGCACGTATTCAACGAGAGGACGGACGTGTGGGCGTTTGGAGTGACTTGCTGGGAGATCATGACCTTTGGCGAACCCCCATACCGAGAACTTCAAGCCATTCTCCAACCAATCGCCAATAATTACAATTTCGCCACGGAATTTGCGAACCTGCTGGAAAAGGGCCACAGATTGAAACAACCCCTCAATTGCTCGCAGGAATTGTATGAGGAGCTATTGAATTGTATGTTTAGATAATTTTTTGACAATGAAAAGGTGGTTTGTCAATCTGTCGGGAAAATAATGTGGATTCGTCGGGAGTTTGGAGCCGCCCATTATCGCTTTTGTGATGGCTAACTGGAGATTTGATGCATCACAAAGACGAGTAGAGACATTTTTTGCGACATATCCACATTATTTTCCCGACTGAATGATGTGAAATTTGAAATTTTTGGAAAAAAATCCGTATTTTAGGGGAAATTCGATGAAATTTTTATTTTTGACGACGTATTTTGGGGCGATTGAGAGGAAATACTGTAGTTTTGAGGCGAATTTTTGAGATTTTCACTGATTTTTGGATTAAAAAATAAGTGAAAATCTCAAAAATTGGCCCTAAAGCTACAGTATTTCCTCTTAATCTCCCTAAAATGCGTTTTCAAAAATAAAAATTTCACGAATTTTCTCCTAAAATACGGATTTTTTTGTCTAAAATTTTCCTAATTTCTGATATCAAAGATTTTATCAGTCTGTCGGGAAAATAATGAGCACCTTGTTGCATCGAAAATTGCATTGCTGCCGAGAAAATGAACTTGATTTTGTCGCGAAACAATTCATTTTCTCGGCGGCGATGCGATTTTCGATGCAACAGAGTGCTCATTATTTTCCCGACAGACTGATACCATGTTAGGTATCAGAAATTGGGAAATTTTTTGACAAAAAATCCTTATTTTACGGGAAAATCCGACGAAATTTTTATTTTTGAAGACGTATTTTAGGGAGATTAAGAGAAAATACTGTAGTTCTAGGGCCAATTTTTGAGATTTTTACTGATTTTGGGATTAAAAAATCAGTGAAAATCTCAAAAATTCGCCTCAAAACTACAGTATTTCCTCTCAATCTCTCCAAAATACGTCGTCAAAAATTTGAGAAATTTTTCAATGTAACAAAATTTCATCGCGGATTTTGTTTCCAGGCTGGCTGATCGACCCCGAAAGTCGACCGACTTTCCGCGAACTGAAGACCAAATTCGAGAGTTTCGCCAGAGCCCCCCACCTCTACGTACAGGACCGACAAGCGGTCAGTCAGATGGAGTCGATCTCCGAGCAGGAACAGCGAGCAATGATCGAGCGAATGCTCCAGGACAGCGACTTTGAGAACCCCCTCGAACTGGACCCCTCCGATTACGGCCCAATCAAACCGAACCGACATAGTGAGAATACGGAGGAAACCTTCTTGCCCGACACCCCAACCAGCTCACATTTTGGGAACAGGAATCCGGTGAGTTGAGCCACAAAAAATTCTGGGAAAATTGTAAAATGAGAGGGGATAATAGTGAAATTTTCAATTACAGTTCGGAACGGACCGCTCAATCAGCGTTGGCTCCCGGTTGCCTCGGGTTTCGGATGCGAATTCGATGGAAGATGAATATCTACAGCCGAAAAATGCTCTCGAACCCACAGAAAATGGAACGGTTTACACTCCAGTGATCGTCAATTCGAATCCAGGTAGGTTTTTTATAATGTAAAATACGATTATACCAAAAATTTTTGGAAAATTTTTTAAGCGATTTTTTGGAAAAAAATTAAATTTTTTTATGGAAATATTGGATTTTATAGGAATTTATTATAGTAAATTGCTGAATTATATCAAATACCGCCTAATTTTTTCAGAATCACCTTCCCACGACTACCTAAATGATCCATATCAGAAGCTTTTGAAAACCCAACAAAACGAGACGGAGACGGCCTTTTGAACCCCCAAAATGTACAGTAACCCACGGAACGGGCAGCTAAACTTAGTCGCAGATCTTTCAATGGTATCTGATTTATTCGAAACGGGTCTTTTCCCCCGGGGAATTTGAGGAAAACCGAGGAATTTCGAGAGTTTCAAAAATGACCTAAAATAAGGTCATTTTTGAAAATTTGTGTCAAAAATGTAGATTTTACCCAGAAATAACGGAAATTTTCGACATTTTCTTAATCAACCAGTCGATTTGCTCTCGAATTTCCCGGATTTTCCCCAAATTTCCTCCGTTTTTGCATTGAAAACTCCAATCTTCTAGTGTAATATCATCAATTTTTTTTGTCATTCCTAACGCCAAAGTCATCCCAGTAACTCCTACAGCTTTTAACTTTGCAGTCATTTGACATATTTTCGCATTTTGAATAGAATTTTAGTTGATTTACAATACTAATAAGCATTTTTTGTTATATTATCCATGACCTTTTTTTTGTTAAATTTATTGTTTCTTTTTTGTTTTTCGAGTTGTTTTCATAATAATAAATTGTTTTTGTGGAAGATTTCGTCGTATTTCACTTATTATTCGATCGTATTTTAGATTTTTTTTTGAGATTTTTTCAAAAATTTTTTTGGTGGTTGGCAAGGTAATTTGCGAAAAAATTAGTCCAAATCGTCCTGAAAATAAATGCCAATCGATTGGAATTGCTAATAAAATCAAGGCCTCCGAAGAGCAAGTAAAAATTACCGGTATTTTGCTCTTTTTTCCGCAGGCCATGGCTGTTTGTGGTGCCCAAAGTAAAACACGATTTTTGAGTCAGTGTACCAGCGGTGATTTTGAGATTTTTGGCTTAAAACAATGACTAGCCCTTGTGGAAAAACAGCTAAAAATATTTTTTTCCAATTATGCCCGGAAGGCATATTTTTTTACAAAATACGATTTTTTACATTAACGCTTCTGGAGGCCGCTGTGATTCGAATACAAAGATAAAACATGAAATACAATGGTTTTTGACATCCAGGAATCTGAAAATCGTAGCCTTTTTACCGTCAGATTACTGCGACATGGTCATACTGTAATCCGGTTTTTGAAAATCGACCATAACTTCTTTAGATCAAAAATGCCTCAGGATTTTTTTGCAGATTCAAAATCAGCATGAAATTCTGCTTCGGATGCATGTAAAATATGTTCAAAGTTCCATGCCCGGACCTGCGTAGTATAGTGGTTGTGCGCCAGCACTACCAATCTGACGACCCAGGTTCGAATCCCGCTACGTGCAAATGACAAAAAATGGACCATACAAAGGCGGGAAGTGGAAAAAATGGAAAAATAATTTACAGAAATTTATTTTAGACTGCCGAGTAACATATGAATTTTATGAAAACCGACGGAGTGTCTCAAAAATCGTATTTTAAATCAAGATTGACAAAATCTCGAAGATTTCTCGGTTGAACGTTGAAATTCCGTTTGTTTTTAGAGCTATTCAGCCCTGCTAGACCTCCTGGATGTCTCGTTTGTTAAAATTAACCAAGAATTTGAGATAATTTATATTGCACTTGATATCAACCCAGTTTTTTCTCTTTTTTTCATTCCTATTCCTTTTTATTCTACATAAATCTTCACATGGTAGGTCCAGAAGCCTCCGTGCTTCTTATTTTCTCCCGATCCTCCACTTTTTCCCTCTATTTCTTTTCAAATTGAGACGCTGAGGTTGCGTAAACCACAGATAAATTCCTCAAATGTCTGCGCTCTCTTGACTCGCGCACTCTCTTTGTTTGATTTGAATGTCTGTGATGGCCGCTCAATCAGTTGGCGAAGGCGTCATGAAAACATTTTATTATTTTTTATCCCTCCGCATCTTGTTTTGGCGATGAAAAAAGTCGCCGGCAAATGAAATACTAATCCGATTTGGGGTATCCTGGATTGTTTTATGGCAAGATTTGTCATTATTTTTTTATTATGGTTATTGGCGGTAAGTTTTTTGTCATAAAAAGGGCATTAATATAGCAATTATATATTAATGATAATCGCACAGTGCAGTCAAACAAAAAAAAAATTTTTGCACAGTGCAGTGCAAAAAACTCCTTGCCATGCTTGTTCATTGTCGCTGTGAATTTGATTTGGTCCCTGTTTTGCTTTTTGCACGGTGCAGTGCAATTTCGCACTGTGCAAATAATATCCGGTGTCGCTGGATACTTTTTGTCCGCACGGTGCGAAAAATGACGTTTGTTTTTTTCGCACTGTGCATAGCTTCATTTTTGCACAGTGCAGTGTCCTTGCCAAGCTTCTTGTCGCTTATTTGGCATCTTGTTTTGATTTTTGCACAGTCCAGTGCAATTTCGCACTGTGCGAAAAATGACGATTCTTTTCATTGCACTGTGCGATTTCGTGCGACAGTTGCACAGTGCGATCCGAACACACCACCGCATTTCAATCATCACATGGTGCGATTGGGATCTGTTACACATCTTTTTCTTTGTTTGCACAATGTGATTTTTCATATGATTTGAGTGCACTGTGCTAATTTTTTCGGAAATTTGGACGCAAATTTTTTAAAGTTTTATTTTCTTTTTTTTTTTAGAAAATCACAAAAAAAATGTAAAAATAAAAAAAATCAAAAAAACCCAGTAATTTTAACAACTCTCCGACTTTCATCGCCTCTCTACGTCCTTTATTTTCCTTTCAAACCCTAAAAAATCCCATATTTGCCATTATATCCCCAAAAATGTCCTCTAAAAATTTGTTATAGGCATGTTTTTTAATTTTTTTTTAATTTTATTTTTTTAAATTTTTTCTTTGATCTTTTTTTATTTTTTTGTTTTACTTTTTAAAAAATGAAAAAAAAAATTGTGGAAAATACTTTTTTTATTGCGTGATATTTTTAACTTGTCAATAACCTTGTCTTCAATAAACAACTAATTTTAGAAAACAAAAATGAACAACGACCCGTGCTGCTCCGGCTCCTTGGAAAAGAAGGAAGTCCCGAATGAATATGTGTTCCAGCATTCGGAACACTATGGCATCTTCCTTGGTGCCATCTTCAAATCGTAAGTTCGATTTTTCAATAATCAACTTTTTTTTAAAAATGAAGCAAAAACGATTTTTTTTTGCATTTGAAAGGCTTGTATCTCGGGTATTTTGCAAGCTACTGACTTAAAATTTTTGCTGATGCTTTGCAGTGTCTTAAGAATTGTTAGTTTCAAATCTCGCCAAAATCTGACACAAAATATAATTTTTATGAGCAAAATTGTATAACTTTACCTACTACAATATAAAATAATAATCAAAATTTTTTTGGCGATTTTTTTTGATGTAGACGATTTACTGTGCTTTAAATGAGCTATGTTCCAAATTTTATCAAAATCAGAAGAAAAATAAAATTTTTATGACCAAAATTGCTCACCTCTACTTACTATTGTTAATACAATATAATTTTTTGGCTATTTTATTGATTTTTTCAGTTATGAAGACTTGGCCCGCGCCGTATTATGGTACCAAGCGGGGTCGGATACTTTCCTTGTGAAGTATTCGACCTACTGCTTTGTCGCCGGCGAGGTCCCCGAGGAAGACAGCAATAGGTGTCGGTATAGGCGACTAGCCTACAAATGCTGCCGACATCCGCCGGTGGACCGCAAAAAGTTCACCGAAAAGTCGAGAATTCGGAAGATCTCGGCTGAAAACAACTGCAATTTTAATTTTGTGGTATCCTATATACGGGACATTCGGATGCTGAGGATCACCGCCGTCACATTGGGCCATGATCATCATCCCAACGAACAGGAGTGCAGAACGGTTTTTGAGAACTTGAAAAAGCGGAATGAAAAGAAATGGGAATTGAGTGAGTTTTTTTTTGATTTTATTTTTCAAAATGAGATTTTTCTGAATTTTTTTAATTTTTCAAAATGAAAATTTTTTGAATTTTTTTATTGTTCAAGATGAGATTTTTTGAATTTTTTATTTTTCAAAATGAGATTTTTTTTTGAATTTTTTAATTTTTCAAAATGAGATTTTTTGAATTTTTTTATTTTTAAGATGAGATTTTTTTGAGTTTTTAAATTTTTCAAAATGAGATTTTTTTTGAGTTTTTAATTTTTCAAAATGAGATTTTTTTTGAGTTTTTACATTTTTGAAAATGAAATTTTTTTGAATTTTTAATTTTTCAAAATGAGATTTTTTGAATTTTTTAACTTTTTAAAATGAAATTTTTTTGAATTTTTGAATTTTTCAAAATGAGAGTTTTTTGAAATTTTTAACTTTTCAAAATGACATTTTTTGAATTTTTGAATTTTCAAAAGGATTTTTTGAATTTTTTAGTTTTTCAAAATGAGATTTTTTGAATTTCAAATCTTTGTAACCTAGGTGAATATTGAAGATATCGCTCTGAATTTTTTACTGACCTTATATAAAGTAGTAATCTTCATTTATGGGAAGTTTGAAAAGGATAGAAGAAAAAAAAATTTGAGATTTTTTGATTTTTGGAGCCTTATATCTTCCGTATTTAAAAAAATTTTGCATGAAATTTTTTCTTATCTTTTATAAAATCATAATCGTCATTTTCGCCAAATTTCAAAAAAATTGAAGCAGTTTGAAATTTTGAGATTTTTTGAATTTTGAATTGTTGTACCTACCGTATTTTACAAAATTTTCGCATGCAATTTTTACTGATGTTTTATGAAATTAGAGTCTTCATTTTTGCCAAATTTGGGAAAAATTGGGGCAGTTTGAAATTTGAGATTTTTTAATTTTTGAAGCCTTATTTCTTCCGTATTTTAGCAAATTTTTGCCTTAAATTTTTACTGATGTCTTATAAAATCAGAATCGTCATTTTCGCCAAATTTCAGCAAAATCGGGACAGTTTGAAATTTTGAGATTTTTTGATTTTTGAAATCTGGTATCTATCGTATTTTAGAAAATTTTGGTGTGAAATTTTAAACAATGTTTTATAAAATTAGAATAGTCATTTTCGCCAAATTTCAGAAAAATTGGGGCAGTTTTAAATTTTGAGATTTTTTGATTTTTTTAAGTCTAATATCTACCGTATTTTAAAAAATTTATGCATGAAATTTTTACTGATGCTTTAAAAAATCAGAGTCTTAATTTTTGCCAAATTTCAGAAAAATTGGGGCAGTTTGAAATTTTGAGATTTTTTGGTTTTTGAAGCCTTATATCTACCGTATTTTAGGAAATTTTTCCATGAAATTTTAAAGGATGTTTTATAAACTCCGAGTCTTAATTTTGGCCAAATTTCAGAAAAATTGGGGCAGTTTTAAATTTTGAGATTTTTTGAAATTCACTCCAAAAAAATTAAGATCTAATTTTCACATTTTTTCAGTTCAAGAGATGCGTCTTCTTCGGCCATTTAATGCCGACTACAGCTACGTGCCATCACCACCACATCAGAAGGCGAAAGCCCAACATGGTCGCGACGAGGCGGCGATAAAATTGGATATGGAGCAGAACACGGTGGAACCGCCATTATATAGCGATGAAATCGAGGAAAAATTCCTCCACTACCTGAACGAGGACGTGGAAAAGACCAATGAGGCGAGACGATGCAAAGAAGCCCGACAACAAGCGGCCAAACTGGCGGCCGAGAACGAAGACCTGGACACGAACGGCTTGAAAGTGGCGCCGAGACCTCCGATAAGAAGAAAGAGACGACAAGCCAAAGAAAAAATGGAATCCGATGGCGTCGAGGATGCGATCTACATTAACCAAGATGGCCGGCCGTTGACTCAAGAAGAGATCGACTTTTACGTCCGAGGACAACCTCCGCGCATTCCAGAGCAGCCTCAATATCATGCAGTGGAGTATGAGAGCCTGTACCAGGAGCAAATTCCAGCGACTGTGATGGAATTTGAGACTTTCGGATATTATCCATCAGAAAAGCGCCCCAAGACAAATTTTGATCCCCAAGCCCCGACAACTTCGCGAAACTGGATGGATCATGAATACGAGGGCTCTCAGATGCCCACAGAATGGTATCAAATACCAGAAGCGACAACAAGTTTTGGTGCGAATGCCCCCAGGGCAATTCGAAATTCAGCTGCTGGACCTAGTGGAAATTTCCAATTTTATGATGAAAAAATCCCAATAGCTCAAGAATACGGTAAGAAAAATTTTGATACGGCCTATAACAGTGTGTGTGACAAATTTCAGGCTTCAATTTTGATTATTTTTCGGAAATTCTCCGATTTTTTAGGTTTTTTTTTAATTTTTTCTCCTCACAAAAATTATTTTTATTTTTAGCTCCAATTTCGCAAGAAAACAGGAATTTTGAGATCCAAAACTTTCAACCTGTTGTCGTTGATCATCAACCTCCAGTCGACTTGAACTACGAACAGGACTACGATTGTCACATGGCCGACTACTTGCTGCACATGGATAACACCGAAAATCGGACCCAACACGGACAAAACCAACACCCACTGGAAGTGGATCCCAGTCTTTTCGCGTTGCAGCTTCCAGAACTGGGAGAAGCACTTGACCATGTCGAGGAGCATCTTTATCAGCTCTTGGACGATGAGGAAAAGAAATCGGAGGATGAAGAAAATGTGAAGCCGAAGTGCGACGAATTTGAGGTGAGTTGTTTTCTTATGTTTTGTTGCCAATTTTAGGACGGGTTTTGCGAAGAAACTAGAGGGTTTTCACCTGAAATGTTGTTTTAGGTATCAGATGTATAAAACAATATAATTTGTTGTGTGTTGTGCTGAAATAGGTGTCTAAATTGTCAAAAGATTTTTATTATACCATGTTGCATCTTTTTGGAATAGTTTTCGCGGAGGAATTGGCTATTTTATTTAGTGAATAGGGATTTCGGCATCAGATGTCTAAAACAATATAAATTCGCAGGTTTTTAGGCTGGAAATTGGTCTTAATATCTGTATAATGCCTTTTTAAACTATGTAGAAGATTTGAAGCAAAGGAAACATCTAGTTCTATGCAATTCCCGCCAGAATTATCAATTTTGGCATCAGATGTCTAAAACAATGTAAATTCTTAGGGGTTTTGGCCAGGAATTGATCTTAGCCTTTTTATAATCCCTTGTTAAACTATGTAGATCATTTGAAGCGAAGGAAGCATCTAGTTCTAAAAAATTCCGACCAGAATTATCAATTTAGACATCAGATGTCTAAAACAATATAAATTTCCTTTTTTTCAGGCTGAAAACGTTGATCCAAATTGCCAAAATGGACGTCCAATCCAAGGAACTTCCCAAGGTAGCAGAAGAGTCTTTCAAGATCAGTCAAACCATCAAGGTCCATCAAGAAAAACAGCGGAAAGCAAAAGTGAAGGTCAATTCAAACGACCTCGTGGCCGCCCACGCAAGAACCCTGAAGGTCCACCAAAGAAGTTGAAGAAGAAGGTCGTCGAAGAGCCAAGGCCGGAATTCGGAGTGTTAGACGTAGGTACGGTCGACGGATTCATCAAAGCTGATGCCATGGATTATTCAGATCCCTACGAGATCCTCGACATGCATGGAGACCCAGTTTTGGCCTCAGCGAAACCCGTGAAGTCTCAAGAAGATTGTGGAAAAAAATTGAAGAGAAATTGAAGCCAAAGGAACCGAGAAATCGCCAAAATGGTCCAGATGCCTAGTGTAATATAATTTTCCCGGGTTTTCATCAATTTTCCAGTTTTTAGGTGTTTTTCGTAGCTTACCGAGAAGTTAGAATAGTAATAGATAGTTGATAGACGAATAGTTTAGGTTGAAATCACCTTTTTGCCTAGTATAATATAAAAATTTCAAAAAAATCATAAATTTTTTGTTTAACTTACATTTTGCAGCTTATAGTTTGGTTAGAATAATATTAGAGAGTATAATAGAGTATTACAGAGTAATTTTTAGTTGTTAGAATAGAATTTTTTGATCTCATTTTTTTAAATTTTATTATTTTTGACCCAAGAACCTCAGAACTTGTGGTAAATTCCATAATATTGCATTGTTTAAATTCTGATCTCATCATATCCCTCATATCACTCGATTGTAAATGCCCTTTATCTCGTGAATAAATTAAATTAACCGTCAATTACGTCATTTCTCATCAAAAATCGCACAGTGCAGCCGAAAATGAATTTTCCGCACAGTGCACTCGCGACAACGTCTTTTTGCTGACTGCACAGTGCAAACACTCGGTTTCGGAAGTGTGCACTGTGCGGGAAAGAAAATAGGCTCGATTTGGCGACAAAAGAATTTTTAGAAATCACGAAAACGCCATCCCGTCCGATCTGGCAAGTTAAGCAACGGCTTGGCTAATCGCGGGTTCGAATCCCACTGGAAGGAAAAGTGAATTTTGAGTTAGAAAGCAAATACTATGATATGAAAACTGTTGCAATAGGTAAAATACGATTCTTCATAAGTTGGTTGATATAAATAAATTACTTTTTCGCTCAAAAAACTTTAAAAAATTATAAATTTTCCTCTAAATTTATCATAATTCATGTTTATTTATAAATACTCAAAGAAAATCTGTTCGATAACAATGGAAACCGGTGTCGTATGTGTAATACAGTAATCGAATTCATGTACAAAGATCAAAAACCCGTTGGAAAAAGAGGAATTCAAAAAAATAAGTTCAAAAAATTTCGTTTTCTCAGAAGGATAATTACAGTAATCTGTTTTGAATGAGAGTTTCCTGAGGAGGAAGAAAAAAGATAAACAGTACAATACCCAGTAAACATATGATTATTAGGCAAGTAATTCGTAGTTAGTAATTACAATGTTAGGAAAGACCTTTTTTGACTAAACAATAAGTACCGTATGAAGTGGAGGAGAATGTACATGAGAGTAAGTGGGGTGACAAATGGCTGGATGCTCAAAATTTTTAATTTTCGTGATTTTTGTTTTGAAAAATGTCGGATTTTTTGAAAAATTTTCGTTTTTTTTCAAAAATACGGCCCAAAAATTACTTTTCTTAATCTTGATCTTCTTTATACACCTTTTTAATCGACTATTTTCACGTCTGCTTCCACTGGGATTCGAACCCGCGCCGATTTGGCGCCAAAGGAATTTTGAAAAAATCACGAAAACGCCATCCCGTCCGATCTGCCAAGTTAAGCAACGGTGCGAAAAGTCGCGGGTTCGAATCCCACTGGAAGAAAAGGTTGATTTTGTGTTGGAAAAGAGCAATTGCTAGTTGGAAAGTATTCAAAATCGTATCTACTAGATTGTGAATGGCTTCCAAATATAATTTTTTGGCTAAAAATTCCCTGAAGTCCGCCATTTTCAAGTAAAAAAGCTCAAAACTCAAACTTTTCTCTCTTTTCAAGCGATCCACCCTTGCCATACCCTTCAAACTCTCTCAAATTGCCAACAATATCAGACAATCTCACTGGGAACGATTGTTCCGTACATATCACTATAAATTTGTGTGGTCTCCGAGTTATTATCCGCATAAATCCCATCTCCGCTACCGTAATCCCTCCGAGGCAGGGCGCCCAGCAGCAAGTTCCAAAACAGCTGATGATGCAGCGGGATGCAGGTGTTATGTCTCATAATCTGGCCCAGCTCATTGTCCACGGAGTTGGTGTCAATCGCTTCGTCCAACAAAACGATGACTTTTCGCTCCGATTTGCGCGCGCTGAACAGCTGATGGCTGGTCTTGATCTGCAACGTGCTCCATTCGTTCTCCAGGAAATCTTTGGTCAACACCAAGATCAGCGTTTGACTAGCACCCATCTGCTTGTTCAATTCATCGCTGATCCGCTGATGCCGATTACTGTAGCATTCGGGCGGGGTGTCGTCGTGCAGCAGACACATTGAGTAGTCGTGGGCGTGGAGTGTGCTGAAAATGGAAGTTTTAGAGGGAAAAGTGGAAGTTTAGGGGGAAATATCGACAAAAGAGGTTGGAAAAATTATTTTTTGAGGAACTGATTTTTTGAAGGAATTTAAATTTTTTTTTTTTTTTTTTTGAAAAATCGACCAAAAATGGAGGAAAATTTTTTTGAGGCACTTATTTTTTGATGGAAAAATTTTGGAAAATTTCACAAAATGATTTTTTCTTCGAAAAAATAGCTAAAAGTGGTCGAAAAATGATTCTTTTGAGGTCCTGATTTTTTGATGGAAAAATTTTGAAAATATTTTTCAAAATAATTTTTTTTTTTGAAAAATTGCATAAAAAATTAGGTAAAAATCAATTTTTGAGGCTCCGATTTTTGATGGAAAAATCTAGACATTTTAAAAACAATTTTTTTCTTGAAAAAATAGGCAATAGTTGTCGAAATATCGATTTTTGAGGTCCTGATTTTTTGATGGAAAAAATGAAAATCAGATAAAAAACGGTTCAAAACGTTGAAAAACACCTTTTTTGAGCCCCAATTTTTTGTCGAAAATTTTAAAAAATAAAAAAAATCCTTATTTTTATTTTTTTTTAAATCCCAAAAAATTCCGAAAAAAGGCTGTTTGAAAATATGGAAAAATTTTTAAAACATTTTTTTGTAACTAATATTAATATAAATAAAAAAGCCTCAAAAAATTTTTTTGGACGAAAAAATTTTTTTTTTAATTTCCAAAAAAAATTTCAAAAAAAATTTCAAAAATCCCCAAATTTTTTTTTTGGATTTTTTGGATGCAACCTTCCCAACTTACTTGCAAAGTCTCTCCTTGACGAATTGTTCGTCCCTCTTCGAATAGCTGATGAACAAATCAAAATTGATCAATGGCTGCGGGGAGAAGCCTCCATTCGGCGTTAGCGTGCTGCTATTCATGCTCATGGGTGCTTTTTTGTATCGATGTTGTTTTAAGCCCTCCTGAGTTTTGCGTAGCACCGCAATGGCCAAATAAAGAAGTCCACAGAGGGCGGTGATGACGAAAAACACGGCAATCACCACCAAGAACAAGCTGTACAAAGCGCCGCCGCCAAAGAGCCCATTGTTGCGTCTTCGGCACATGGTCGTATTGGCTTGTCGCAGGAAATCGACCATCTTCATAACGAACAGATCCTCGCCCACATTCGGCGCCTGACTGCTCAACGCGAACGTTTCATTGAAGCGGAACGCACGCGTCACATTCTCCACGCACAGCACCGTCTCCACATCCACAATCTTCCCCACATTCGAGGCCACGAAATTCTGCGCATTGAAGACGCTCTCGTCTCCCACGCAGTCGCAGCGAAACGGATTTGCCCCGAGGGCAAGAGTGCGCAACTTCTCCGGCACCACCTTTAGCACCAGTTCCGGCATCGAGCTGAATGAATTGGAGTGTAAAAGAATGTCTTTCAGGTTCGGAAACGTCTCCAGAAGCTCCGCGGAAAGGTGGTTCAGGTGGTTGTGCGATAGGTCCAAATGCTGCAAACGCGCCGTCTTCACCGCGATTTTCGCGTCCAATTTGTGGAGATGACCGTGTGTGAGGGAGAGAGTCTGAAAATAACATATTAGTAAAGGCTTTAAAAGGCTTAAAAAGGCTTTAAAAATAGATTTATGGCCTGAAAATCAAAATTTTCAGCCATTTTTCACATTTTTTGTCGATTTTTCCATGAAAAAATTAAGTTTTTGCTTTGAAAATTAGAACTATTTTATTTACCAATGTGTACCCTACCAAGACCACATCAATTTTTTCCTTTCTGACTTTAATATCCCAAAAAATCAACTGTTTTTCTTCCACAGGGATTCGAACTCGCATTAGTCATCCTAGTAGCTTAACTTGCCAGATCGGACGGGATGACGTTCTCGCACTTTTTCAATTAAAATGAACGCCGATTAGGCAAGGGGACAGTTTGTGAAAAGTTCGAGTGCAGCATCCCGTCCGATCTGGCAAGTTAAGCAACACTGCAGATGTAATGCAAGTTCGAATCCCGGTGGGAAAAAATGGGTTTTTTGGGAGAAATTGAGTTTTTAAAAAGTTAGAAGATGTCTTAGAGGTAAAATACGTAATGGTCAGCAAAGAAAATTTAATTTTTTAGCCACAAAAATCTCAAAAATCATCAAAAATTTACCTTCAAGCTGGGCAAAGTGTTGAAAGCCATTGGTTGGACCTCCTTCAACCCAGTATTATTGATCCTCAGCTCCTGTAGATGCGCTCGTCCAGTCAAATCGCGGCTTTTGAGCATGTGCAATTTCAGTCCATTCAGTCTAATGTGAGTAGCATGCATGGGAAGCTCGCGAATCTCGAATGGAACCTCCTTTGTCTTGTTCGCATCACAATGAACGATATTGGTGCGGAAATCCGCGTCATGATAGCAATTGCAGCCCTTGGGGCACTTGGATTTGCAATCGCAGGATGAGAATTGGCAACACACACAATTTGGCTCGCAAATCTCCTCGTATGCGCAAACAAAATCATCCTGTTTGGTGGCGGAGAGGGACTTCAGTTGCTGAAAAAGTGGAAATTTGAAGTGGGAGACATTTTTGAGTTGGGAGACATTTTATACGAAAAAATTTGAAATTGAAAAAATGAGATTTTTGGAGGTACAGAGGCAGAAATAGAGTAAAAATTACTGCCATCTCACAAGAAAAATTATGATTTTAAATCTGAATACCAAAAAAAAACTCAAATGGCGACATTTTATACGATGGATTTCCAAAAATCGCCAAAAACTGTAAAAATCTCGATTTTTTGCCAATAAAGTATGATAACTTAGCAAAACCAACTATTAAATAGCAGTACTAAAAGTGCTAGTTTTAATTTGAGGACGTCGCGAGATCAAAGGAAGCCATTTTATACGCTAAATTTTCAAAAAATCCATAAAAATTGCTAAATTTGATAAAAAATCTCATTTTTTTGGATGAAATCAATCAATCTGTAAGTTGAACATGACCTTATAAATGATTTTAAATCTTCACAATTAGTTTTAAGTCAATTACAATCCTTTTCGAACCTTATTTTACACTAAAATACCCAAAAAATCACAAAAAATGGCAAAATTTTCCAAAAAAATCTCATTTTTTGAACAGAATCAAATAACCGGTAGGCTAAAAGTGGTGTCATAAACCATTTTACGCCTTCACAATTAATTTGAAGTTCATTACAATCGTTTTCGAACCTTATTTTACACTAAAATACCCAAAAACTCCCAAAAAACGGCAAAATTCGCCAAAAAATCTCATTTTTTGAACAAAATCAAGTAACCGGTAGGCTAAAAGTGGTGTCATAAACCATTTTACGCCTTCACAATTAATTTGAAGTTCATTACAATCGTTTTCGAACCTTATTTTACACTAAAATACCCAAAAACTCCCAAAAAACGGCAAAATTCGCCAAAAAATCTCATTTTTTGAACAAAATCAAGTAACCGGTAGGCTAAAAGTGGTGTCATAAACCATTTTACGCCTTCACAATTAATTTGAAGTTCATTACAATCGTTTTCGAACCTTATTTTACACTAAAATACCCAAAAACTCCCAAAAAACGGCAAAATTCGCCAAAAAATCTCATTTTTTGAACAAAATCAAGTAACCGGTAGGCTAAAAGTGGTGTCATAAACCATTTTACGCCTTCACAATTAATTTGAAGTTCATTACAATCGTTTTCGAACCTTATTTTACACTAAAATACCCAAAAACTCCCAAAAAACGGCAAAATTCGCCAAAAAATCTCATTTTTTGAACAAAATCAAGTAACCGGTAGGCTAAAAGTGGTGTCATAAACCATTTTACGCCTTCACAATTAATTTGAAGTTCATTACAATAGTTTTCGAACCTTATTTTACACTAAAATACCCAAAAACTCCCAAAAAACGGCAAAATTCGCCAAAAAATCTCATTTTTTGAACAAAATCAAGTAACCGGTAGGCTAAAAGTGGTGTCATAAACCATTTTACGCCTTCACAATTAATTTGAAGTTCATTAAAATCCTTTTTGAACCTTAATTTAAACTCAAATCCCCAAAAAATCCCAAAAAAACCGCAAAACTCACTTTATTTGCCTGAACAGTGCATTCAATCTGCTTGTAATCCATCAACTGGACCGCCGACGAGCTCTTCGGCTCCGCCGCCCTCCACCAGCCCGTCTCGCAGTTGCACTCGAGCGGATTCTGGCTCAGGAACAGCTTCAGAAGGCCGGAATTCAGCGGAAAAGTCTGCTGATTGAACGACTTCAGCAAATTGCGCCGCAAATCCACCTGTTTCAGGTGGGGTTGCCGTGAAAAAGTGCTGTTGTTCAGCGTGGAGATGCGATTCGAGGAGATGTTGAGGAATTCCAGCTCATCCGGCAGCTGCTCCGTCAAAAGGACGGTGATTTCGTTGTTTTGCAGCTCCAATTTGCGCACTTTCGACTTTGTCGCAGCAGCCAAAAGAGCAACACGGTTGTCGGACATCTATAAATTAGGAATTGGACTGTTTAAAAAGTAAAAAGCTGATTTTTTCCTCTTATAAATGCAAAAAATTTCAAAAAATCCCGTTTTTTTCAAAAAACTATGCAGAATTTTACGACTTCGTATTTTACAAATCATTTCTATTCAAAATTTAATCGAAAATATTCAAATTTTACTTCTAAACTTTTTTCTTTACCCTTTTCTTCCACTGGGATTCGAACCCGCGACTAATCAACCACCGTTGCTTAACTTGCCAGATCGGACGGGATGGCGTTTTCGTGATTTTTTCGAAATTCCTTTGGCGCCAAATCGGCGCGGGTTCGAATCCCAGTGGAAGAAAAGGGCAAAAATGAAAAAATAAATTGAAGATAACTATCGCTCGACGTATTTTATGTTTTTTTGACACAAAAACCAAATTTTTTCAGAAAAAAAAATTTTGTAAAAAAGGTCATAAATTACTAAGAACTTCACTCATCCGTATTTTACAAATTTTTTACTATAAGACATCATAACAAAGTTCGAAAAAATTAACCTTCCCCCAATTTTTACACCATTTTTTTATCTTCACCCACCTGAAGCTGCACCAAATTCTCGGGAAATTCGTTCCAATCCAGCAAACTGAACAAATTGCTGGTCAAGTTCAAATGCCTCAGGGATTTAAGGCTCTTCAACGAGCCTCTAAGCTCAGTCAATTCATTATTCGACAAGTCCAGAGTTCGCAATAAAGGCGACTTATTGAATGCGTCCACATTTAATAAATCGATTTTATTGTTGCGCAAATTGAGCTCGTTCAGTTTGGCACAGTCACTGAACACGTAGCTTTCGATGGAATTGAGCTGATTATTCGCCAGAGAAAGTTTGCTGAGATGTGAAACTTTGTTCAAAATAAACTTGTAGGTCTTTCTGAAACAGGATCCTTAGTTATAAAGCCTGCAAAATGGGAAGAAGATTTCGTATTTTACCCATATTCTCTTCGTCTAAAAATTTTTTTTGCATTTCACATCGAAAAATCCCCTTTTCATTGAAAAATTGAGAATTTTTAAACTTTACTGGTAATTCCTCAATAGTTTTTTGCAAAAAATAATGACCAAAACGCTAATGACTTCGTATTTTACCACGACAACCTATTTCTATTTCTTACTCCATCTTTTTCATCTCAAAAATTCCATTTTCCTCCACTGGGATTCGAACCCGCATTGATTATCCGCACCGTTGCTTAACTTGCCAGATCGGACGGGATGCCGCACTCAAACTTTTCACAAACCTTCTCTTTGCCAAATTGGCGCCTTTTCAATTGAAAAAAGTGCGAAAACGTCATCCCGTCCGATCTGTCAAGTTAAGCAATGAGTTGACTATCGCGGGTTCGAATCCCTGTGGAAGAAATGAGGGTAAAATACGCTTCATAAGGTCCAGGGTTTCCTGTAAAACTTACCGAATCAAATTGCTGTCAAAATCGAGATGTCTGGCGGATTTCAGCCGTCCAACGGCCATTGGGAGCTCGGTTAACTTGTTCTGACCCATATCCAGATATTGTAATTTGTCCGCTAGGGGTTTGAAAGCCTCCACATCGACGTGATAGATCGTGTTGTTGACTAATTTTAGCTCAATCAATTCATTGAGACCCTCGAAAACACCTTCGGAGAGACTTTTGAGCCGATTATTTGAGAGGTCAAGCTGAAATTTGCATATTCAAATTTTAAATTTTTTGAATTTTTATGAATTTATATGTAATTATGAGAAGTCTAGAACTAATTTTAGCCATTTTCTGGACTATTTGGATACACCAGAATCATAAAAACAATCTTGCGCAATCTTGTCCCAATTATGGCCATAAAAGGACATGTGTTCTGCGAGCGTTTTAGTGACCTCAGAATTTACGACTAGGGAGTTTTACGATTGCCTAAACGTAAATAAGACGTCTGGTGAGCAATTTGCGAGGTTATGCAAATTTATGCAAATTTTCAAAAATTTTCATATTTTCAAAACTTGCTAAAATACGTTTAGAATCAAAGTTTTTAGCCTCAAATTTAGCAAAAACAAGAAATTAAATCATTTTGCAAAAGATAAAAATTTATGCAAATTTTTGAAAAATTTGCATATTTTCTCAAAATTGCCAAAATGATATTCCAAGAAATCTCTTACCATTTGAAGTCGACTGTAATTCCCGAAACCCCCAATTTCCAGTGTTGAAATTTCGTTTCCAACCAAAATAAGCGTCTTCAAAGTGTCCACAGACCGCTCGAACACCGCCGTTGGCAGCGTATTGAACCGATTGTAGCTAAAATCCAGGATCTCGATGACTTGCGAAAACAGCTGGAATGGAGTTCGCATATCAATCTCGTTTCGCGAGAAATTCAGCGAGACCAAATTTTCCAAGTTCGCTACGGTAACCGGAATCGTCTCCAGACGGTTGTCGGCCAAGTTTAGATAGAGCAGAGAGTCTGAAAACATTTTTTTATCACTGAAATATTGCTGACCGTATCTTACAATTTTTTATTTTATATTTTTCTTATTTTTTCCAGGTGGATTCGAACTTGCAATGGTCAGAACGGTTGCTTAACTTGCCAGATCGGACGGGATGGCTTTTCGCACTTTTTTCGATTGAAAAGGCGCTAATTTGAACAGAAGGGCATTTGTGAAAAGTTCGAGTGCGGCATCCCGTCCGATCTGGCAAGTTAAGCAACTTTGCTTGATTAATGCAAGTTCGAATCCCCGTAGAGTAAAATGCGATTTTTTGGTTGGAAAATAGATTCAAAAAGTTTTGAAAGATGACTTTGAAGGTAAAATACGCATCCGCATGCTTAAATTGCTTTTAACAACAAAAAAATCCGAATTTAATTCAAAACCTTGGACTTACCAGGCAATGCCGGCAGCGCTCTGATCAAATTTCCCTCCAAATCGAGGTGCTGAAGCAATTTCGTGGGCAAAAATGCATCCGCCGCGATTTCGTCGAGACCATTTCGAGTCGCACTCAACTGCCGAATCACTGGGAATGCCACCAAATCTTTGGAATCAATCTGTCGGATTCGATTTTTTGAGACGTCCAGCAAAATTAAATGCTCCAATAGGCAATCTTCATTGAGTCCCAGCTTGATATCGGACAATTGGTTTCCGGAGACCGATAAAATCTGAAAATTTTGGGTTTTCGTGGGTAAGGTAATATTTTTTCTATACTTTAGGATGGCAATACAATGTGATGAGCTCGTATTTTACAATAAAAAAACTTTTTTTATCTTTTTCCCGCACCGGGATTCGAACTTAAGCCGTGCCGTTGCTTAACTTGCCAGATCGGACGGGATGACGCTCTCATGATTTGCCATACAGGTAAATGGCGTCAAAAAGGCGCCGGTTCGAATCTCAGTGTCGGGAAATGAAAAATAAAATTATTTTTGACTTTTTGACATTGTAAAATACGAATTTTTCATTTTTAATTTTTACAATTTTTTAATTTTTTTAAAATTTTTTTCAAATTTTTTTTGTCCCAGCTCCAATTCTGCATTCCAATTGCTTCTCTCCTCCAAAATTTTTAATAAGCCAAATCCACGGGGCCAGAAGACCTCACTTCCGTCGAAATTATTGGAATGCGCGCAATAACGAAAAGCAGACGAAAAGCCTGCGGGTAATGAGAAACGCACGCGTTACACATCCGGTCTAATTCCTCATTAGGCCGAGTGGATTGTCGCACAAGCTGTTTCAAATATTTTTAGAGCTTTTTGAGGCCATAAAAGGCAATTTGAAAAACTGCATTGTGCGGGGGTCAAAAATTTCATATTTTTGCCAAAATCTCGTTATTTTTCACAAAGAAATGGGTGAAATTGATATGTAAAATAAAGATAGAGCCTTAATATACAATTTGACATTTCAATTAATTAAAAAAATTTGAATAAATTTGCTTAAAATTTAATTTTTTTCCAAAAAATCATCAAAATTTGGAAAATTCCAAAATTCTCACTGAAAAGCTCAATAAAACTTACTTGTAAGTTCCGCAGAACACAGAGCATGCCATCTGGAAGATTTTTGATACCACCATCGACCAGTGAGAGCTTGTCAATCGAGCGAATTTCGTGAAAAACGTCGGAGTTCCACTGAGGGTCACCGAACTCGCTGATATGCAAATTTTTGAGACTCTGCAGGCCAGCAAATGATCCTGACGACAGAGAGTCGAATTTACAGCTCTGGAAAAATGATTTCATAGCAGCTGGAACATTATTTTAGCAAGCTTTTGGCGAAAAATTGAAGAAATTTGCGGTTTTTTGAGTAAAAATTGAATTTTTGTTCAAAATAAAGTATAAGATGGGGCCAAAACGGCTTGAAGAACTATAAAAATGATTGTGTCATCGTATTTTACCCCAACTTACCGAGATTCGAAGCTCTTTTAGCTCCGAAAACCCATCAAAAGATCCATCCGGAAGTTTGCTCGGCCTTCCATTGTCGCTGCAATGAATACTCAGCGACTTTGTGGCATTTTTTGGGAATTTCTCCAAGTACCCGCTCTGTATCGTCGGCCATTTGCACGAAATTATGAGCAGTTCCACGTCCAGAACATCAGGTACGCATAGACAGCTAAAACAAGGTAAATTAGTGTGGAAACTGCATTAACGGCCATCGTATTTTACAAAAATAACCCCTTGGAATATTTTTGAATATTTTTTAATGCTGCAAGTCACTTTTTACATCCATTTTTATCGTTTTCTTCCAGTGGGATTCGAACCCGCGACTGGCCACCCGGTTGCTTAACTTGCCTGATCGGACGGGATGGCGTTTTCGCGATTTTTTCGAAATTCCTTTGACGCCAAATCGGCGCGGGTTCGAATCCCAGTGGAAACAACAAAGAGACTTGATAGGTTTTTGCATTTTTTAACTTAAATTAATCTTTTTATAATTTTTATATTGTTCTAGACATCAGTCGAGTCCAAAAAATTTTTTGAATCAGCTATATTTTGAAGGTTCGATTTTCGTCGCCAAATTGCGCAATAGCCACTGTGTCTTGTCCCTTTCTTTCGCTCTCTTCACATAATGGGCTAATTTTGTCGGCGAAAACAAAAGATCATAATGGACGCCAACTTTCGCACTCTTTTTGCGCGTATTACAGCAGAGTTGTATATGTGTCGGCGGCATGTTAGAGGGTAATGAAATTACAAGCCGATGACCGCTGATAAAAGCGGATGCGCAATCGCTTCTGTGTAAAGAAGTTTGTTGAGGAAATTGCGCAATTTAGGACGCTGAAGTGGAAAATTCAAAAAATAAATTGATGAAAATTAGTAGAAATTGAATGAACAAGGGTTAGTTGTAGTGTACCATGGTTTTTAAAAACACCATTTCCCCCAAAAATCTCATTTTCTTCCACTGGGATTCGAACTTCGACAAGTTAAACGCACGTTGCCTAACTTGACAGATCGGACGGGATGACACTTTCGCACTTTTCCAAATGAAAAGGAGTCTCAATTTGGCAAAGGGGCCGTTTGTGAAAAGTTCGAGCGCAGCATCCCGTCCGATCTGGCAAGTTAAGCGACCATCCGTCCAAGTTCGAATCCCGGTGGGAGAAAAGTATCAAAAAAAGTCTCCTGATGTGTAGATAAGTGCTTGCATAAGATTTTAAATAACATTTCATGTATTTTTACATGACTTCACATCACTTTTTTTCTCATTTTTCGATGCTGTTTTCTCCGTCCGTCATTATTCATGCTTTCCACCCCCCGTCGCATGGATATTATAATCTTATATTATATTCCAAGATCCCTCCGAGCCACTCGTCTAATCCGAAATGAGATTATGTGTTATGCAATAAAGCGAAGTGCGAAACAAGTGTTCTGCGAATTTTCCCACATGAAAAGAGCGCTCAGGGTGCACTTGAGCGCGTCCAAAATGCCAAAAATATTACTGGATTTTCAAAAAATCTCATGCATTTTCAAATCCCATGTTTTCCCGCCATTTTTTGAGGAATTTTGTTTTTGGTAAAAAGCGAGTGCGAGATCCCGTCCGATCTGGCAAGTTAAGCAACAGTGCTTGATTGGCCCAAGTTCGAATCCCCGTGGGAGAAAAGTGAAGAAACAGTGGCAAAACGTGAAAGTAATTATATAGAAGATGTAAAATACGAGTCTCTATTCTTTTCCAGTACTATTGAAGATGATTTCTGCTGCTTTCAATATTGTTTTTTTCGCCATTTGTTTGCGGAATTCCATTAGAAGATATTACTCAAGAAATTACGGGTCAAAATAAAAGACCGGAACAGAAAAAGAACAAAAAACAAGACAAAAGACACTCGTCGCAGGACAAAAAACCATTCAGCAAGGCCTTTTAGAGGTCATTTCGATGAGATATTGCTAAAAATTTGGAGATTTCATAGAAAAATGAGAATTTTTTCCATTTTTTTCTAATTTTAAACCATTTTATCCACTAAAAATCTCTTCAATGACACTTTTGAAGCGCCTCAGAGCATTTCCAAGCATTTTCAAAAAAAAATTTTCAAAAAATCTCATTTTGAAAAAAAAATTTTTTTCTCAAGATTTCCCTAAAAATACGCAAAAATCTCTTCGAATCTCGTCAGAATGTTTGATTTGAATAATTTCCCAAGAAATGACATCCAACATTTGCGGGCGCATCCCCCACTGCGATGTTATAATAGACATGAGGGGCATGAGAGTGCGAAAAACTTGGGGTATTGTCTCGTTTCTGTGGGACAGATTGCGATTGCAGCGCTTATTACACAATAATCTTTCGTTTGCGTCCGAAAATTTTTTAATTTTGAGTAAAATACGGTTTTTTGAATATTTTTTAAATTATGCAAATTTATGCAAATTTGTAAAGAATTTGTGTAAAATTAATTTTCAAGGCTTCTGAACTGTTCAAAAAGACTATTTCTTATCAAAAAACCAATTTTCAAAAGAAAAATTTTTTATGCAAATTTATGCAAATTTTTGAAAATCGCCTGAAATTAATTTTCAAGGTTTCTACAACGTCCAAAAAACACTATTCCCGATCAAAAGATCAATTTTCAACACAAAATTTTTTTATGCAAATATATGCAAATTTTTGAAAATTCTCTGAAATTAATGTTCTTGGCTTCTAAACCATCTAAAAACACTGTTTCCGATCAAAAAATCAATTTTCAATGCAAAAAATTCTTTATGCAAATTTATGCAAATTTTTGAAACCCTTCTCAAAATCTCTCAAATCGTCAACTCTCTCTTCTAATAAGCCCCCTCCACTTAACCCATCACCCCTTGATTTTCGGCGTTTTTTGCCAAAAATTGTCTTCAAGTGACTCCTTTGATTTGCATAAAAATGGAGCGGCTTGAATCAAACCCTCGTCCATGGTAATTGAGAGGCCGAAAACAAGTGGATTAGGTCCGTTATAAGCATCCATGGATAAAAGAGAGGATTTTTTTCGAAAAAATCTCTTTGCGCAAGGGATTTGGCTGGATTTGTTGCGTAATAAATAGCGTTATAAGCGACGAGGAACTTTTTTACAGTGGTATTTATCTTATTCAAGTCATTAATTAGGCGTTATGGAGGCGAAACGTAAAATTTTAGGGAGAAAAAACGTAAATTTAAATTTAGAATTTATGCAAATTTTTAGAGCGTCAAAAAAATTTTCTTTGTAAAACTGTTAGCTAACGGCTGTGGGAAAATTTTGATTTTTTTGTTATCCGTAAAAGTCAGAAGGGGGACATTTTATACGCAAAAATTAAAAAAATTTCATTTAATGTAAATTTATGCAAATTTTAAAGAAACAAAAAAAAATTTTCCATAAAACTGTTTGCTAGTGGCCTTAAGAATATTTTTAAAAAGCTTTTTTTATCAAATCACAGAAGGGAGACATTTTATACGCAAAAAATCCAAAATCTCGATTTTATGCAAATTAATGCAAATTTTTGAAAAAATAAAAATCACCAAACCATTTCCCCGTATTTTAAAAATCCTACAAACAAATTTTATCCCATTTTTATCGACATTTTATACGAACAATTTTTAAAAATCTCTATTTTTCCATTGTGTCCAAAAAAATCGCTTTATGTCGCCATTTTTTCTCCATTATTAGCAAAATCATCGAATATTCGAAGAAGATTCCCTCTGTATGCATCAAAACAGGTGGATTTCACGGTTGATTTGTGTTGCAATCGACCGTTAGCGCGCCGTTAAATCGGCTCGGAATTTCTGACAATTTAACGCATAAATTAGCGATGAGGGATCCGGGCTAATTTCGAATTAATTAGGTGAAAATTGGCGGGAGATTTTCGTATTTTAGGGAAATTTGCATAAGGCAAAAGATTTACATATTTTTTAAATTTGCATAAATACTTTAAATCACTTAGAAGTTTGTATTTTACATCAAAAATTTGTCAATTTACAAATTTGCATAATTTAAAAAAATTTGCATAATTTTCAAAAATTTGCATATTTTTGAAAATTGGCATAAATTCTTGAAACCACTCAATAAATTCGTATTTTACATCAAAAATTCGTCAATTTCTAAATATGCATAATTTTAGGAAATTTGCATAATTTCCTAAAATTTGCATAAATATTAGAACCCTTTAAAAAATCGTATTTAACAAAAAATCGCCATCCCCCAACGTCCTCATCAACCTTATCGTTTCATATTCATAATCATTACTCACTCCCTGATTATTATTTTTTCGCCGTTTAGTCAGCAAAAAACAAAAGGAAGGGGGAACAGAACATGATTCACAAACTCGGCACACGTTCTCAGCCCAATCGCGTTTTCATAAACATTTTATAAAGATTTGGGCGAGGGGAATTTGCATACGAAACAAAAATAAACCGGAAAGTTGGAATTTTGTGGAAAAAAATTGATTTGCGGGAAATTACAGTAACCCAAACGCGGACAATTGGTAGAAAATGAGAGGTGATAGTGTCTGAATGCTATGGAGAGTCAAAATTTGACTTGACGGTTACAAAAAAACGCCGCATTTTACAATTTTTAACCAATTTTTCCCAAAAATGCAAGGCTTTTTAAAATCAAATTTCCAGAAAAATTACAGTAACCTTTGGACAAAATTTTATTTCTATATGTTCTACATGGCCTCTACAATCTATGGATATCAAATAAAGATACGAATGATTACTGCAAACCACCGTATTTTACAATTTTTCCAAGGCATCCCAAATTACAAGTTTTTTTTGAAATCAAATTTTCGTACAAAATTACAGTAATCTTTGGGTCCAGTTTGACATCTTTATGTTCTAAATGGCCTCTGCAGTCTGCCAATATCAAATAAATTTACAAAAAGTTACTGGAAAACGCCGTATTTTACAATTCTTCCAAGTCATCCCAAAAATGCAACCATTTTTTTAAATCGAATTTTTGAAAAAAGTTACAGTAAGATTCTGGCCAAGTGTTATATTAAAATGTTCCTTGTAGTGTCGAGAAGCTTGTGAGAGAAAAATTTTTAATGGAGCAAACGCTAGAACTATCGTATTTTACATTTTTTCCAAAGTTCTCCACAAAACCCCAAAAAATCTAAAACCCATACAAAAATTCTTACCTTTCCGGACACTGATGCTTGAAAACACTTGACAGCCTCGATGATTGTGTTACACTACCATCAACACTCAAAAAAGTAGTCAAAAACGCGACGAAAAGGGGTAAAAATCTGATTTTTGGCTTCATTTCCGTTTTTTATCGAGTAAAAAACAGAGGGCCCTCCGAATTTCCCAACAAGATTATGTCCACATGTAGTAGTTGCGGCTGAAAATCCAAATATACGATTTTGGAAAGATGTAATGGGTAAAATATCGCGAAAAGCGGGGAAATCTTATCTTGAGAGAGCGAAATTGAGGGAACATTTAATGACGGAGGGCGATACCGGCCTGAATTCGGTGATAACACGATCCGCAATGAACGTATGCGACGGAAAAATGATAAAAATACCATAAACAGCGTTTGAATTTGGCGCCGAAATGGGTTTGGTTTCACTGCACAGTGCGAAAGAAAAATGAGAGATTTTGCACTGTGCAATGACAAAAATGGTGAATTGCACTGTGCGATAAGTGAAAAATGAAATTGAGCACAGTGCATAACCCGCGACATCACCAAAATTTGCACAGTGCAGGGAAAAAAGGACAAAAATTTAACCGCACTGTGCGAAAGAAAAATCGGAAATTTTGCACAGTGCAATGGCAAAAACTAGGGAATTGCACTGTGCGATAAGTGAAAAATGAGGTTAAGCACAGTGCAAAAGCAGCGGCAAGTCATAAATTTGCGCAGTGCGGCAGAAAAAAAAACAAAAATTAAACTGCACAGTGCGAAAAGAAAATGAAAGATTTTGCAATAACCAAAACTGGGGAATTGCACTGTGCGAAAAGTGAAAAATGAGGTTGAGCACAGTGCAAAAGCGGCGACAAGTCATAAATTTGCACAGTGCAGCGGAAAAAGTGAAAAAAAAAATAAACTGCACCGTGCAAGAAAACACATTGTTGTTTTTGCACGGTGCAATCAAAAGAAATAGGTAAACTGCACTGTGCAATGAGCGAAAAAATGATTTGTTTTTGCACTGTGCAATCAAAAATTTTCAAATTTGCACAGTGCAATCCAAAAATGAGCAAAAAATTGTGCTGCACCGTGCAATTCAAAAAAAGAAAGAATTGCACAGTGCAATTAAAAATTTAGCCCAAAAAATTTGTGCACTGTGCAAAACAAAAGCAAAATGCACAGTGCATTCAAAAAAGAGGTCAAAAAATTTCCGCACGGTGAGAGAAAAATGTCAAAAACTGAGCGCACGGTGCAATTAAAAATTCCGCTGCACAGTGCAGTCGGAACGTAAAACAAACATGTAAAAGGCGAAAAGTAAACAGTAATAGCGGGTTTTACTCGGATATTAATATCAATTCAGGTTATGGAAAATATTTTTTTGTGTTTTTGATGGTAAAATACGATTTTTTTAAATACAAAAAAAAATACAAAAAAAATTTTTATCAATTTTTTTCCTCTAAAATACGAAAAAACAGCGTTTCGTATCCCGAAAACCCCTCCAAAAACGCGAGACGAAAAAAATTGGCCCTTCCCCAACAGGCTCCGCCCCCTTTCTTGTGGTCATTCGCCTCGCGCCTATAAGGCCTCCTCGCACTTAATGAGGGAGGGGGGTTGTAAAAAATGGGACGCAACTTTCTTCTCTCTCCGAAGAATTTTTGGACTCATGGATAAGTGAAAACATATTGGATATGGAGGAATTCGCGGGCAAATTTACGAGGGCTTTGGGCGATAAAGAAGGAAAAAGGGGGAAAAAGTTTATGGAATGCTTTTTTTACTAAAGTTTTAGACAATTTGTTGTCTTAAAATATGAGAAAAGTTGAAGAAAAAAGCAAATTTTATTAAAATTTGTTGTTTTAACTGTTAAAAAGCTACTTCAAAAAAGAAATTTTTAGTCCAGAATAAAGTCTTTGATATGAAGTATAATGTGAAATCCAAAAATATTTGAAAAATTGCCGAAATCAAAGAGAAATCGACCATTTTAGCGGTCTGCTTCCACTGGGATTCGAACCCGCGCCGATTAGCGCCAATGGAATTTTCAAAAAATCACGAAAATGCCATCCCGTCCGATCTGGCAAGTTAAGCAACAATCCGGCCCAGGTTCGAATCCCACTGGAAGAAAATGATAAAATAGCGACAAAAAGTAAAATACGAATTAGAAAATTGTAAAATACGGATTCTTAAAAAAAAATAAAATTATTTTCTTCAAGACTGACGCAAAAAACACGCAAAAGCAATAAAAATTGTGGGTATTGAGACGTCTGTTGGGAAAAATAAAGAAGCAACAGAAGAGGAGTCGACGAGAAGGCTGGCTGGTTATGCTCATCCGGTTATAAAACCATAAAAAATTAGGGAATGATGGGGAGTTACGCGAAAATTTTTGGGGAAAATCGATCGTAAATTTCGGGATTTTTTACTGCCAAATCTATGTGCAAATGCGAAAATGGGCAAACAAAATGCGATTTAGGTCATGTTTTGGCACCTACAAATATTTGCATTGCACAGTGCGAGCTGAAAATCGAAAATTTTTTTTGCACTGTGCAGAAATTTGAGGTCCAAAAAATGCACCGTGCAGAAAATTTAGGTCCAAAAAATTTGCACTGTGCAGTTATTTGGGGTTCAAAAAATGCACTGTGTGGAAGTTTTAGGGTCAAAAAATCGCACTGTGCAGAAATTTTAGGGTCAAAAATTTGCACTGTGCAGTAACTTTAGGTCCAAAAATTTGCACCGTGCAGTAATTTTGGGTCCAAAAATATGCACTGCGCAAAAAATTTAGGTCCAAAAAATTGCACTGTGCAGAAAATTTAGGTCCAAAAAATTGCACTGTGCAGTAATTTTAGGCCCAAAAATTTGCACTGTGCGGTAATTTTAGGTCCAAAAAATTGCACTGTGCAGAAAATTTAGGTCCAAAAAATTGCACTGTGCGAAAAATTCCAGTCAAAAGTTTTGCACAATGCGGAAAACAAAACTCAAAAAATCGCACTGTGCAATTTTTCCCTCAAAAAAATAATAAAAAATAAAAAATTTGATTCGAAAACACAGTTATTAGATTGTTCATCCCTCGGAAATTGCGATATAAACACCCGAAAGCCGTTGATTTACCTCAATCAATTATTGGAGTCAAATATTTGCGCGAAATTGCACTCTAAATCACCTTCCACTCATTTTAACCCACTTTTAATCCGTGCGTTCTGTCGCCAATTCCCGGAACAATGCAAACAATCACACTTATTCTCGAGATGTTAGGGGCCTTGGCCCCGAAAAACGTGAAAAGAACGGTAATTTCGAGAAAAATTGATTTTTAATCCTCGAAAATCCAAGTAAAATCAAAAATTTTTGATGTAGGAATGAAGGCCGAGGTGTGGTATGTTATTCCAAGGCAAAAAGATTCAAGTTTCGGTCGATAAAATAAAGAAATCGACCATTATTCACCTCTGCGTCCACTGGGATTCGAACCCGCGCCGATTTGCGCCGATGGAATTTCGAAAAATTCACGAAAACGTCATCCCGTCCGATCTGGCAAGTTAAGCAACGCTTGATTAGTCGCAGGTTCGAATCCCAGTGGAAGAAAATTATAAAAACAGTAATAAAAAAACGCTGTAATTGTAAAATACGGTATACAAACAATTTACCGAAAGTTTTCTAAGTCTTAAAAACCTATAGAAATGCAAAAAATCAAGTTTGAAAAAGTTTGAAATCTAAAATAAGTTTTTTTACCGACAAAAACTATTTCAAAATCATGTTCAAAAGTACACGGCCGACTTCTAAAAGCACCTGAGGTCAGAAAAAAGCCTGTTTCCAAATATTCCGACGGGAATTTATTTGTTTGGGGGGGGGTGAGAAGCTTTTGGATCAATGTAAATAATAAAAAAACGTTGCGCGCTTTACCTTGTCTCCCACTAACAGTAATGTAAATATTCGCTGGAAGTCAGATTAACCATTTATTTTAAGATTTCCGGCGATTCCGGTGATTTTGGAGGGAAAAAGGGAATTTCCAGAAAATCCGTCATGATGACGGGATTTTTGGCCATAGCATCGCATAAAATTCTGTCAGGAATTGAAGACATCTGTTGAGTTGAACTTAAAATAAAATTTTAGGCCATAAACGTCTCATTAATTTCATGTTTTAGCCAAAATTCCATAAAATGCGTCATGATGACGGCAACTTATCCTTTGAAATCACAAAAAATCTTAATTCCGCTGAAAATACAATGTCAAGAAGAGACTAAAATAATTTTTTGATAAGCAACATGGCACTGAAACCCACGTATTTTACAAATTTGCCCTCCGGCAAAATTTACAAACGATTTCGAAAATCGCCCGGAATGTTTGCACAGGTTCTGAACCCAATACCCAAAACAATTCCTTCTCTCTATATTTTTCTTAAACTGACTCAGCCTCGGCCCCAAGATTGCGATTTTTTTTTATTTTTCGGACTCCAAATCGAAAAATCAGGACAGCTGTTCGGGAAAGCCTCTCGGATCAAAGTGTGATGGCTACTCCGAGGTCCACAAAAAGACGAAAACCGAATGGGAGTTGGGAAATTTGCGGGTTCAGGCGGTGGAATTGCGGGGTTTCGGTTGGCAGGCTGCGCCCTAGGAGTTGGGGGAAAAATGGGGGGAAAAGATGAGAAAAAATATTTTTTATGGCTTTAGTCATCATTTTAAAGCTTTGCTGATTCAAAATTTCATCGGTATTTGCCATTTTTCAATTGTCCAGGGCGCAGCCTGCCAAGTGAAAATTCGTGTTTACTGCGACAAAAATGAATGATATCGCTTGTAAAATTGTCACTCATCTCCAAGACTTGTTTTCTGACGCATTACTCACAATTTTAGACCGATTTAAATCAAAGTGTAGGGCGCAGCTCGCCATTTCAAAAACTTTGGATTTATCGCCGGAACACTTCAAAAAAGCTTGTAAAATACGACGCTCATAATTATTAGCTCAAATTAAAGCCCAAATTCATAATTTCCAGTCATTTCCCCCACCAAAAAGTAGGGCGCAGCCTGCCAAAATTAATCCTCAAAAACCGCTAGATTTCAGTGTAAAATTCAAAAACCGTCCAAGAAAGATATAAAATAATCCCATCCTCATGCTCGTTCAACCCGGTAGTGATAATAAAAAGTCGGAAAATGGGTCGG